ACATTATAAAATTGTAATATTGATGGAAAGGTTTCAGACTTTTAGTCACATGCCCTTAAATGTAATGGGTGTGGATTTAACCATCTTAATCAATTCCTTGGGCTTCAAATTTGATACTAATGAACAAATATTTAAAAGTTTGAAGTGAATATCTTTGATACTTTTTGAGAAATGTACCTACCAATAATTCAACAAGAATTTGTAACAGAGTTACCAACGTACCCCGCCTCGGGAAGTTTTATATGAAGCATAAAATTGTTCTATTTCAAAAGATTAAGGTATGGATCTCAGGACATTCAGTCCAAAATTATGATCAATGCTAGATCTGCAAATGTAACAATAAATTTGTTAAAAAAAAAAAATGAAACACGGTATTTAAAAATCTATCATGTTAAGCTTTGACTTTTAAGTGTGACCTTGACCTTGGAGGTAGGGGAGCAGGTGTTTGTGCATGACATGACGTCTTATTATTGAGATATTTTGCCAAGTACTTTCAAAATCCCTTGAACTTATTGAAGAAGTTATAGATTGGACACAAATATCCCTATAACAGACTATGTAAATCTTTGATCTCTAAGTTGTGACCTTGACCTTGGAGGTAAGGACACAGATGTTACGCATGACATATCATCTAATCATTGATGACTATTTTCAAAATCCCTTAATCTATGAAGAATAATGGGACGGACACAAAACATACCAAATAAAAGACTCTTGTTAACCTTTGACCTCTAAGTGTGACCTTGACCTTGGAGGTAGGGGTGCAGGTGTTGTACTTGACATATTTGTCTTATCCATTGTGACTATTTGTGCCAAGTTATTTTCAAAATCCCTAGAACTATGAAGAAGTTCTAGATCAGACACAAAATATACCCTATAACAGACTATGTTTAATTTTTGACCTCTAAGTTGTGACCTTGACCTTGGAGGGAGGGATGCAGGTGTTGCAACATGACACATCCTCTTATTATAGTGACTATTTGTGTGAAGTATTTTCAAAATCCTTTATCTATGAAAAAGTTATGGACCGGACACAAAATATACCCTGTAAGAGACTATGTAAGTATTTGACCTCTAAGTGTGACCTTGACCTTGGAGGAAGGTGACCGGTTTTTACTCATGACACATCATCTGATTATTGTGAACAATTATGGCAAGTATTCACAAAATTCCTTCATAGATAAGAAAGTTATGGACCGGACACGACATATACCCTCAAATAGACAATGTTGACCTTGAATGAGCAAGTACGACCTTGACCCTGGAGGTAGGGGTCTGGTTGTTGCGCATGACACATCGTCTTATTATAACAAACATTTGTGCCAAGTTATTTCTAATTCCTTTGATAAATGACAAAGTTATGAACCCGACATGAAATATACCCTGTAACAGACTATGTTAATATTTGACCTCCAAGTGTGACATTGACCTTGAAGGTAGGCGACTGGTTTTTGCGCATGACACATCGTCTGGCCTGATTATTATGAACAATTATGGCAAGTATTTACAAAATCCCTTCATAGATAAGAAAGTTATGGACCGGACACAACATATACCCTCAAATAGACAATGTTGACCTTGAATGAGCAAGTAAGACCTTGAGCCTGAAGGTACGGGTCTGGTTGTTGCGCATGACACATTGTCTTATTATAATTAACATTTGTGCCAAGTTATTTCAAATTCCTTTGATAAATGACAAAGTTTTGGACCGGACACGAACTATACCCTGTAACAGACTATGCTAATATTTGACCTCCAAGTGTGACCTTGACCTTCAAGGTAGGTGACCGGTTTTTGCGCATGACACATTGTCTGATTATTGTGAACAATTATGGCAAGTATTTACAAAATCCCTTCATAGATAAGAAATTTATGGACCGGACACGACATATACCCTCAAGTAGGCAATGCTGACCTTGAATAAGCAAGTGCGACCTTGACCCTGGAGGTAGGGGTCTGGTTGTTGCGCATGACACATCGTCTTATTATAATTAACATTTGTGCCAAGTTATTTCAAATTCCTTTCATTAATGACAAAGTTATGGACCGGACACGAAAGTGTGACGGACGGACGGACAGACGGACAGACGGATAGACGGACGGACGGACGGACGGACGGAGCCTATTTCTATATCCCCTTTTTTCTTCGAAAAGGCGGGGGACAAAAAGGGGCATAATTTCTAGATAAATTATAAAGTTACCTTGCATTTAGAATTGCATTTTAATTTAAAAATTGAATGAGTATTTTATGTTAGAAGTGATTAACTTTGACAATTTTTGAGAAATTGACTTGAAGTTAGAAGAAAAAATAATTATTAAAAAAGTGGAATAAATTAGCTAAAATGAATTTCTATCTGCCCTTTTGCAATGGTATCATCTTTTGGTAGTAATTACAGTTTGAGCTGAATCACTTCAATTGTGTATGAGAAAATAGACCTTAACAAAAAGGTTAATCAGTGCTAAAATTCTAAGTAGAAAAAGGGGCAATATGATTATAGGAATATAATGTTCTTTTGAAATGGCGTCCCCTTATGAGAGTTAACATGTATACCAATTTGTCAATAGCTTTTATAGTTTCTGAGAAATTGGAAAAGGTTAACCAATGCCAGAAAAAGGGTATCTTGAGGCATTCCTCCAGCTAACATGAAATAAATTATTATTCCAGCTAACACAAGAGAAATTATTATTCTAATATTGAAACATTCCTCTACCTAATTCAAGACAAATTATCATTCTAATATTGAGGCATTCCTCCACCTAATTCAAGACAAATTATCATTCTAATATTGAGACATTCCTCTACCTAATTCAAGACAAATTATCATTCTAATATTGAGGCATTCCTCAAGCTAACACGAGATAAATCATTATTCCAGCTAACACAAGAGAAATTATCATTTTGATATTGAGGCATTCCTCCAGCTTACACAAGATAAATTATTATTCAAGCTGACACAAGATAAATTAACATTCTAAACTTGAGGCATTATTGAGAAATTATCATCCATATCTTTGGCCAATTCTCTGGCTAACATAAGAATAACATTAATCTATAATTATAAAGTCTACACGGAAGATATCATTACCTAAATGAGAATGTCATCAACAGTAAATTAAGAGCAACATTGTCGCAAAATATGCCCATCACAAAAGCTTTTGTCAGAGATGTGGGCATTATAGATATGCATATAAAGATATTCTCTGGGCAATATCTGGATATTTTATCATCTCTAGTGACCTTGACCTTGCGAATATTAATCTAAATTACATGTGTCACACATGTAGTCATGATAGTTATCTTTTGTGTTACAATCCATCAATGAACAAGTAAAATGGTTTCCTGCAGTGAACATTTTAATGATATAAAGATATTTCATTTAACTATTTTCAACATTATTTGGGGGGGGGGGGGGAGAGAAATCATGTTTTGTATCAGGAATTTTGTTGACAATTGAATAAACGATCAATATAGAAGAAGGTCTTTGCAAACTGGTGACCATTGAAGACCGGAGAAGGCCGAACATAAAACAATAATTTCTTTTTAAGAAAATGATTAAATAGGACTACCATTATATGAATAATTCCGAGCAAAAAGAAAATAAAGTAAACACACAAGTTTACGTAGAAAATATCTCTATTTATTATGGCAGATGCCACTACGAATATTTTAATTTTGTAGATTTTCAGTATAAACAATTTATTGTTTGTAAAATTTGAGATGGATATCAAAGAAACATTGATTATTTTCAAACACATCATTCAAGTTTTTCCACTTTAAACGGTAAAATAGTTATAGAAAATTAGAAAATCACGTAATAGTTTTTTGTTCTTAATTAGGTGTAATTCGGACTAATTCGCTACAGGTATATCCGTAACCGGCAAACGGTATTAAGCTAGGTTTTCGAAAAGGTCAATTAACCAATCGTGTACGGTTTACAGATCACATGATCCTCCATGTACCGAAAACAGGTCACGTGCTCCTCCATGCCTCAAAAGTTAAACGCGTACCAATACCCTGCGGTCTCCAGACCGCAGGGAATGATAACTAAATGTTCCCGGAACACAAATTATAACCTCTCTATGTGACCTTGACTTTGGTAGCAGGGACCTGGATTGTATGCACACTTAACTTTCACAATGGTAGTCATAATAATGACCATTTGTGTTTCAATCCCTTAACAAATGATGACTAAATGGTCCCTATACACATCTTCATTTTTTTATCTGATCTTTGACCCCTATGTGTGATCTTGACATTAGCCACAGTCACTTGAATTTTGCATGCGGCACTCAGCTTTACAATGGTGAACATTTGTGCCAAGTTATATTTAAATCCCTATATGCATGTAGAAGTTTTGCTCTGGACAAGCGTTTTTCAATGACCTCTAAGTGTGACCTTGACCTTTGACCTAGAGACCTGATTCATACACATGACACTGCTTCTCATAGTGGTGAACATTTATATGAGGTATCATTAGAATCCAAGAAATGCTCTGGACAAAATCTCTATATTTTATCACCTGCCTTTAGTGACCTTGACCTTGAATATATAAACCTAAATTACATGTTTTACACCCCTAGTCATAATAATGACAATGTGTTTTTAACCCTCAATAAATGATGACTTAATGGTGCGAATACATATTTTCATATTTTTATCTGAACTTTTACCCCTATGTGTCATCTTGACCTTGGCCACAGAAACCTAATTTTACATGCCGCACTCCGCTTTAAAATGGTGAACATTTGTGCCAAGTTATAATGAAATCCCTCTATGCGTGTTGAAGTTTTACTCCGGACAAGTGTTTTTTAATAATCTCTAAGTGTGATCTTGTCATTTGACCTAGAGTCCCGGTTCATGTGCATAACACTGCTTTTCATAGTGGTAAACATTTCTATGAAGTTTCATTACAATCTCTCCATATGTGTAGGAGATATGCTAAAGACAAAATCTCTATATTTTATCAGGGGGGGAAACTATAATACAACCCATTTTTCTAACGGGCATATAAAACCCCTATAGGGTCAAGTTAAGCTTACTGTCATTGCATTCTTTCTCATCATCTTCAAATTCACAGTCTGGTACACCATCACACTTTCTTGTCATGTCTATACACATTCCATCACTACAGTGATACTCTGATTCAACACAACCTGAAACAATATATTTCATACATCATTATCATTTCAGAATTTAAACAGTATATTGCAAATATTTCAATGATATCAGTTTCGTAATACATATAAAGAATATTCTTTTATTCTAAACATCTATATACAAGACTTTCACTTCATGACTGACATTACAGGTTTATAGGATTGAAAGTGTGAAGTTGGTGTGTAGAGAGTAAGTTTCCAAAATAAGTGTTGAGTGTAAATATTGTGTGAGATAAGTGTTGAATGGGTAAGTGTTGAGAAAGTGTTAAGGGCATTTTCGGGAGTTTTCATATAGACATATTGGCAAAATTAAAACTGTTCAATAGAATTTCTTTAAACTTGGCATTTTGTTAGAATATGATAACAGAAACATTTTAAGCGAAAAAAAAATTGGGGTCACCCTTTTTGTTTTTGAGTTATCTGCCCTTGAATTGGACTTTTTTGTTAAATTCAAGGGCAGATAATTTACAATGAATGGAAACAATACATTTTTTTATTTTCATGAAGCTTACTTTCGTTTAAGTTGATATGCAAAATTTCAAGAACAAATTTAGAGTGAGTAGTTTTTATTCCCTTTTAACCTGTGCATTTTTTCTTAAAAAATGGCCTAATTTTTTAAGAATTTAAAGTACCTTTATTTTCATTGAAATTTTTATGCAGAAACGATGTAAGTAATTGCATGTTATTATGTATTGTACTCAACAATAAAAAGAAAAAACATTATCCAGAAGTAAAAACAAGTATGTATAAGTTATCTGCCCTTTAAATGACCTCAAATAAGTAGAAAAGTCTGATTCAGGGGCAGATAACTCAAAAATCAGAACGGTGACCCCATTTTTTTTTCGCTTAAAATGATTCTGTTATCATATTCTAACAACATGCAAAGTTTAAAGAAATTCTATTGAACAGTTTTAATTTTGCCTATATGTCTATATGAAAACTCCCGAAATCGTCTTTAGGAGAGTATTTTTGGATAGAATAAATGTTGTGAGAGTAAGTGTTGAGAGAGTAAACATTGAGACATTAGTTTGGATAGATAAATTTTGAGAGAATAAATGTTGAGAGGGTAGGTAGAGTAGGTGTTGAGGGAGTAAATAAGTGTTGAGGGGGTTAATAAGTGCAAGTGTTGAGGGGATAAATAAGTGTTGAGAGAGTAAATAAGTGTCGAGGGGGGTAAATAAGTGTTTAGAGAGTAAATAAGTGTAAGTGTTGAGGGGGGTAAATAAGTGTTGAGGGGGGTAAATAAGTGTAAGTGTTGAGGCGGATAAATAAGTGTTGAGGGAGTAAGTAAGTGTTGAGGGGGGTAAATAAGTGTTGAGAGAGTAAATAAGTGTTGAGAGAGTAAAAGTGTTGAGAGTGTAAGTGTTGAGAGATTAAGTGTTGAAAGAGAAAAAGTACACAGAAAATAAGAGAGTAAATGAGTGACAGCTGAGACGCTTAATATCGAGGGTGTAAGTGTTGAGAGAGTAAGTGTTGTGTGAGTAAGTGTTGAAAAAGTGTGGTGTTAGTAAATGTTGAGAGAGAAATAGTACAGAGAAAGTAAGTAGAGAGTAAGGAGTGACGACTGAAGGGCTTAATATTGAGGATGTAAGTGGTGAAAGTGTTGAAGGAGTTGTGTGAGTCAGTAGAAAAAGTGTGGTGAGAGTGAATATTGAGAAAGTAGGAGTTGAGAATTAAAGTATTGTGAGAATTAGTATTGAGAAAATAAATGTTAAGAGATAAGTGTGGAGAGAGTTAATTTAGAGAGATTAAGTATTGAAAATGTAATCATTATCCCTTGTCAATGGATTGGGAGGGGGATATTGTTGTCTGTCCATCCTTTGTACAAAATTTCATTTCCGCGCTAGTTCTGGTCGGACACTTGAACTCAGAGTTATGGCCCTTGATTAGTTATGCGGTATGCATATAGAGCAAAAATCGTTTCCGTGCTATTTCTCTGCAACTTTTGGCTGGAATTCAACGAAACGTTATGGATACCAACGCTGGAATTCAACGAAATTTTATGAGAACCAGCAATATCAAGAGGAGATGCACATATCATCACTTTGTTCTGGTCAGACCCTTTAAATTCAGAGTAATGGCCCTTGATTAGTTTTACAGTATGCATATAGAACAATAATCGTTTCCGCGCTACTTCTTTGCAACTACTGGCTGGAATTCAACGAAACGTTATGGGAACCAACAATACCAAGAGGAGATGGGCATATCATTGCCTTGTTTTAATCAGACCATTCAACACATAGTTATGGCCCTTGATTAGTTATACGGTATGCATATAGAGCAAAAATCGTTTCCACGCTACTTCTCTGCAACTACTGGCTGGAATTCAACGAAACTTTATGGGAACCAACAATACCAAGAGGAGATGGGCATATCATTGCCTTGTTCCAGTCAGACCAATCAACACAGATTTATGGCCTCTGATTAGTTATGCAGTATGCATATAGAGCAGTAATTGTGTCCACGCTATTTCTCTGCTACTACTGTCTGGGTTTCAACAAAACTTTATGGAAACCATCAATATCAAGAGGAGATGTGCATATTGTTGCCTTGATTGTTAGACACTTCATCACAGAGTTATGGCCCTTGATTAGTTATGCAGTATTTATATAGAGCAATAATCGTTCCTCGCATTTCGCTTGAATTCAATAAAACTTTATTGGAACAATCAATATCAAGGGGAGATGCGCATATCATTGCCTTGTTGCGGTCAGACCCTTCAAGACAGAGTAATAGCCCTTGATTAGTTGTGCAGTATGCATTTAGAGCAATATTGCTATTTCTTTTCAACTGCTGGATTGATGTCAACAAAAAGTTTATGGAAACCATCAATACGAAAAGGGAATTTGCATTTCATGATAGATTTATGTAAATAAAGCCTTATGTCTCCAGTTTGTTGTGTAAGTAATTACCAGTACTCAGCGGGGGATATAAATTTAACAAATTTGCTTGTTGTGAGAGTGAGTTGGGAGATAGAAGTGTGTAAGATTATGAGTGGAGAAAGAAAGAGAAATTGTGTGATAGTCAGTTTGGAAAGAGAATAAGCATGAGACAGTCTTGAGAGACAGTATGTTAACATACCACATAGTCAGTGTGGAAAGAGAATAAGCACGAGCCAGTCTTGAGAGACAGTATGTTAACTTACCACATAGTCAGTGTGGGAAGAGAATAAGCATGGGACAGTCTTAAGAGATAGTATGTTAACTTACCACATAGTCAGTGTGGGAAGAGAATAAGCATGAGACAGTCTTAAGAGACAGAATGTTAACTTACCACATAGTCAGTGTGGGAAGAGAATAAGCATGAGACAGTCTTGAGAGACAGTATGTTAACATACCACATAGTCAGTGTGGGAAGAGAATAAGCATGAGACAGTCTTGAGAGACAGTATGTTAACTTACCACATAGTCAGTGTGGGAAGAGAATAAGCATGAGACAGTCTTAAGAGACAGTATGTTAACTTACCACATAGTCAGTGTGGGAAGAGAATAAGCATGAGACAGTCTTGAGAGACAGTATGTTAACTTACCACATTTTCAGTGTGGGAAGAGAATAAGCATGAGACAATCTTTAGAGACAATATGTTAACTTACCACATAGTCAGTGTGGGAAGAGAATAAGCATGAGATAGTCTTGAGAGACAGTATGTTAACTTACCACATAGTCAGTGTGGGTAGAGAATAAGCATGAGACAGTCTTAAGAGACAATATGTTAACTTACCACATAGTCAGTGTGGGAAGAGAATAAGCACGAGCCAGTCTTAAGAGACAATATGTTAACTTACCACATAGTCAGTGTGGGAAGAGAATAAGCATGAGACAGTCTTGAGAGACAGTTTGTTAACTTACCACATAGTCAGTGTGGGAAGAGAATAAGCATGGGACAGTCTTAAGAGACAGTATGTTAACTTACCACATAGTCAGTGTGGGAAGAGAATAAGCATGAGACAGTCTTGAGAGACAATATGTTAACTTACCACATAGTCAGTGTGGGAAGAGAATAAGCATGGGACAGTCTTAAGAGACAATATGTTAACTTACCACATAGTCAGTGTGTGAAGAGAATAAGCACGAGACAGTCTTAAGAGACAATATGTTAACTTACCACATAGTCAGTGTAGGAAGAGAATAAGCATGAGACAATCTTGAGAGACAATATGTTAACTTACCACATTTTCAGTGTGGGAAGAGAATAAGCATGAACAGTCTTAAGAGACAGTATGTTAACTTACCACATTCATCAGAACCGTCAACACAATCAGCAGTACCATCACATCTCCATGTCAACGGAACACAAGCATCCTTGCTGTCACAGCGGAACTCACTAGTCTCATTACATACAGTAACTATAAAATCATATAGTAATATCAGTATTATCTATTGTAGATGTATTTCCTTCAAAAACTCTAGCTATAATCAACTATTTTGTGCACCATACATATATGTTTGTATTGTCATTAAATCGAATGAAGATACACCAAATCCACCCAACACCAAACCAAACAAAACTAAGATAAATAAATAAATAAAATAAAAAAAAAATAAACTACATGTAAATGACGACAGGACTGGACTAATTCTGACCCCCCAGGGGAATGATTTATATTACTATTGTAGAGGACCATAATGTGATGCTACATGCTCTGGGATCTGAAGGAGGCAGAGATTTTGGAGACATGTTTTCTATATAAATCTGTGTAAACTAAGTGACACTTTTGACAGTAGGGATATGATTTATGTATATTTTATAGAAATCCAGTGGGGAATATTATGTGTAACGTATTTAAACTTGGGGCAGTGTAGTTCACACATGAAGACTTAAATGTGCTTTCTATTATAAAATTATATCAACTAAGAGACACCCGGGCCATTATGAACATCATTTTTAAGTCTATTCTTAGCAATTGTGACTTGCAATAAAAACATTAAACAAAATTCATCAAAAATGATTAAATAGCAATAAATAACACTAAACTTGTTCTGCTTCACCTATTTAGGCAATTAACATCTATATAAGAAGAGCCCGGTTTGAGCCCGGTGATGCCTCTTGTAGTTTCAGAGTTATGTCCCTATGAAAAAGTTCAAAGTGCAATAATTCCAAAATTAGGCAAGGCAGAGTTACTGTTCTTTGCACTGCACTTTTAATCAATATGATCTATCAACCTACAAAGTTTCTTGTTGATATCTCTTATGGTTTCCGAGTTATGTCCCGGACAACTTCAAAAAGTAAAAATAAAGAAAGGGCAATAACTCCAGAATTAGGCAAGGCAGAGTTATGATTCTTGTGCACTGCACATCTACCCATTGAGATATATCTACCTACAAAGTTTCATGTTGATATCTCTTATAGTTTTACAGCTATGTCCTGGACAAGATTTTCCTAAAAGGGGAGATAATTCAAAAATGAGGCTTAACAGAGTTATGGTTCTTTTGCACTGCACCTCTACTCAATGAGATCTATCTACCTTCATTGTTTCATCTTGATATCTCTTATAGTTTTAGAGTTATGTCCCGGACAAGTTTTTCTATAAGGGGAGATAATTCAAAAACCGGGCAAAATAGAGTTATGGTTCTTTGACACTGCACTCTCCCTCAATGCCCTCTACCACTGTATGAAGTTAAAACAAATTATCTCCAAGGGTTTTCAAGTCATGCTCCGGACAAGACAACGGAAGGACAGACGGACAAGGCGCCAACTATATGTTCCCCTGAAATTTTTCGGGGAGCATAAAAACATATCCAGATCATTTTTAATACATGTAGATAATTATTTGACAAAACTGGTACTGATGCTGTCATACCAGTAATTTTACATAAGAATATCTATATACTTACTCTTTCCCCCACAGCCCTCTTCATCATCACCATTGGAACAATCTGTGATACCATCACACGCTGCAGATGGCTCAATACACTGCCCATCATCACAAATAAATGAATCCGTGAAACATGCTGAAAATGAGAATAAAACATGCTTATCACACAATCATATACAGATAGATAGCTGAAGGATGGATTAAAATATTACTGTCATAATAACAGGACCTGCTGTTAAATTACATAAATTATAAAATTGCTGAGTATAACCACTCTACTATCAATAATACCTGGTTGTAGTATAGGACTTATAAAGAGAGCAACTGTCATAAGTCATAATAACAATCAATGTTTTTCCAATTATAGAAGAGAACAGACAACTGTCATAATGTCACCAATGTACTGCCAATAATACAAGAGAACAGACAACTGTCATAATGTCACCAATGTGCTGCCAATAATACAAGAGAACAGACAACTGTCATAATGTCACCAATGTGCTGCCAATAATACAAGAGAACAGACAACTGTCATAATGTCACCAATGTGCTGCCAATAATACAAGAGAACAGACAACTGTCATAATGTCACCAATGTGCTGCCAATAATACAAGAGAACAGACAACTGTCATAATGTCACCAATGTGCTGCCAATAATACAAGAGAACAGACAACTGTCATAATGTCACCAATGTTCTGCCAATAATACAAGAGAACAGACAACTGTCATAATGTCACCAATGTTCTGCCAATAATACAAGAGAACAGACAACAGTTAAAATGTCACCAATGATCTGCCAATAATACAAGAGAACAGACAACAGTCATAATGTCACCAAAGTGCTGCCAATAATACAAGAGAACAGACATCTGTCATAATGTCACCAATGTGCTGCCAATAATACAAGAGAACAGACATCTGTCATAATATCACCAATGTGCGACCAATAATACAAGAGAACAGGCAACTGTCATAATGTCACCAATGTTCTGCCAATAATACAAGTGAAAGAACTGTCATAATGTCACCAATGTTCTGCCAAAAATACAAGAGAACAGACAACTGTCATAATTTCACTAATGCTCTGCTAATAATACAAGAGAAAAGACAACTGTCATAATTTCACTAATGTGCTGCAAATAATATTAGAGAACAGACAACTGTCATAATTTCACTAATGTTCTGCCAATAATATAAGAGATTAGACAACAGTCATAATGTCACCAATGATCTGCCAATAATACAGGAGAACAGACAACTGTCATCATGACACTAATGTGCTGCCAATAATACAAGAGAACATACAACTGTCATAATGTCACCAATGTTCTGCCAATAATACAAGAGAACAGACATCTGTAATAATTTCACCAATGTGCTGCCAATTATATAAGAGAACAGACAACAGTCATAATGTCACCAATGTTCTGCCAATAAAATAAGAGAATAGACAACAGTCATAATTTCACCAATATGCTGCCAATAATACAAGAATACAGACAACTGTCAAAATGTCACCAATGTGCTGCCAATAATACAAGAAAACTGACAACTGTCATAATGTCACCAATGTGCTGCCAATAATACAAGAATACAGACAACTGTTATAATGTCACCACTGTGCTGCCAATAATACAAACAACTGTCATAATGTCACCACTGTGCTGCCAATAATACAAGAGAACAGACAACTGTCATTATGTCACCACTGTGCTGCCAATAATACAAAAAACTGTCATAATGTCACCACTGTGCTGCCAATAATACAAGAGAACAGACAACTGTCATAATGTCACCAATGTGCTGCCAATAATACAAGAGAACAGACAACTGTCATAATGTCACCAATGTGCTGCCAATAAAACAAGAATACAGATAGCTGTCATTATGTCACCACTGTGCTGCCAATAATACAAGAGAACATACAACTGTCAAAATGTCACCAATGTGCTGCCAATAAAACAAGAGAACAGACAACTGTCATAATGTCACCAATGTGCTGCCAATTATATAAGAGAACAGACAACAGTCATAATGTCACCAATGTTCTGCCAATAATATAAGAGAATAGACAATAGTCATAATGTCACCAATATGCTGCCAATAATACAAGAGAACAGACAACTGTCATAATTCCACCAATGTGCTGTCAATAATACAAGAGAACAGGCAACTGTCATAATGTCACCAATGTGCTGCCAATTATACAAGAATACAGACAACTGTTATAATGTCACCACTGTGCTGCCAATAATACAAGGGAACAGACAACTGTCATAATGTCACCACTGTGCTGCCAATAATACAAGAGAACAGACAACTGTCAAAATGTCACCAAAGTGCTGCCAATAATACAAGAGAACAGACAACTGTCATAATTTCATCAATGTGAAGCCAATTATATAAAATAACAGACAACTGTCATAATGTCACCAATGTGCTGTCAATAATAAAAAAACAACAGACAACTTCCATAATTCACAAATGTGCTGCCAATAACACAAGAGAACAGACAACTGTCATAATTTCACCAATGTGCTGTCAATAATACAAGAATACAGACAACTGTTATAATGTCACCACTGTGCTGCCAATAATACAAGAGAACAGACAACTGTCATAATTTCATCAATGTGCTGTCAATAACACAAGAGAACAGACAACTGTCATAACGTCACCAATGTGATGCCAATAACACAAGAGAACAGACAACTGTCATAAATTCACCAATGTGCTGTCAATAATACAAGAATACAGACAACTGTTATAATGTCACCACTGTGCTGCCAATAATACAAGAGAACAGACAACTGTCATAATGTCACCACTGTGCAGCCAATTATACAAGAGAACATACACCTATCAAAATGTCACCAATGTGCTGCCAGTAATACAAGAGAACAGACAACGGTCATAATTTCATCAATGTGAAGCCAACAATTATATAAAATAACAGACAACTGTCATAATGTCACCAATGTGCTGTCAATAATACAAAAAAAAACAGACAACTTCCATTATTCACAAATGTGCTGCCAATAACACAAGAGAACAGACAACTGTCATAATTTCACCAATGTTCTGCCAATAATACAAGTGAACAGACAACTGTCAAAATGTCACCAATGTTCTGCCAATAATACAAGAAAACAGACAACTGTCATAATTTCATCAATGTGCTGCCAATTATATAAAATAACAGACAACTGTCATAATGTCACCAATGTGCTGTTAATAATACAAAAAAAACAACAGACAACTTCCATTATTTACAAATGTGCTGCCAATTGTACAAGAGAACAGACAACTTCCATTATTTACAAATGTGCAGCCAATAATACAAGAGAACAGACAACTACCATTATTATAACTGTAGTGAATATAATGTATAGACTTATTGCATTATAACTGTACTGAATATATTGTATAGACTTACTGCATTATAACTGTAGTGAATATATTGTATAAACTTATTGCATTATAACTGTAGTAAATATATTGTATAGACTAACTGCATTATAAATGTAGTGAATATATTGTATAGACTTACTGCATTATTACTGTAATGAATATATTGTATAAACTTACTGCATTATAACAGTAGAAAATATATTGTATAGACTTACTGCATTATAACTGTAGTGAATATATTTATAGACTTACTGCATTATAACTGTAGTGAAAATATTGTATAGACTTACTGCTTTATAACTGTAGTGAATATATTGTATAGACTTACTGCATTATAACTGTAGTGAATATATTGTATAGACTTACTGCATTATAACTGTAGTAAATATATTGTACAGACTTACTGAATTATAACTGTAGTGAATATATTGTATAGCTTTACTGCAAGATAACTGTAGTGAATATATTGTATAGACTTACTGCATTATAACTGTAGTAAATATATTGTATAGACTTACTGCATTATAACTGTAGTGAATATATTGTATAGACTTACTGCATTATAACTGTAGTGAATATATTGTATAGACTTACTGCATTATTACTGTAATGAATATATTGTATAAACTTACTGCATTATAACAGTAGAAAATATATTGTATAAACTTACTGCATTATAACAGTAGAAAATATATTGTATAGACTAACTGCATTATAACTGTAGTGAATATATTGTATAGACTTACTGCATTATAACTGTAGTGAATATATTGTATAGACTTACTGCATTATAACTGTAGTAAATATATTGTATAGACTTACTGCATTATAACTGTAGTGAATATATTGTATAGACTTACTGCATTATAACTGTAGTGAATATATTGTATAGACTTACTGCATTATAACTGTAGTGAATATATTGTATAGACTTACTGCATTATAACTGTAGTGAATATATTGTATAGACTTACTGCATTATAACTGTAGTAAATATATTGTATAGACTTACTGCATTATAACTGTAGTGAATATATTGTATAGACTTACTGCATTATAACTGTAGTGAATATATTGTATAGACTTACTGCATTATAACTGTAGTGAATATATTGTATAGACTTACTGCATTATAACTGTAGTGAATATATTGTATAGACTTACTGCATTATAACTGTAGTGAATATATTGTATAGACTTACTGCATTATAACTGTAGTGAATATATTGTATAGACTTACTGCATTATAACTGTAGTGAATATATTGTATAGACTTACTGCATTATAACTGTAGTGAATATATTGTATATACTTACTGCATTATAACTGTAGTGAATATATTGTATAGACTTACTGCATTATAACTGTAGTGAATATATTGTATAGACTTACTGCATTATAACTGTAGTGAATATATTTATAGACTTACTGCATTATAACTGTAGTAAATATATTGTATAGACTTACTGCATTATAACTGTAGTGAATATATTGTATAGACTTACTGTATTATAACTGTAGTGAAGATATTGTATAGACTTACTGCATTATAACTGTTGTGAATATATTGTATATACTTACTGCATTATAACTGTTGTGAATATATTGTATAGACTTACTGCATTATAACTGTGTGAATATATTGTATAGACTTACTGCATTATAACTGTAGTGAATATATTGTATAGACTTACTGCATTATAACTGTAGTGAATATATTGTATAGACTTACTGCATTATAACTGTAGTGAATATATTGTATAGACTTACTGCATTATAACTGTAGTGAATATTTTGTATAGACTTACTGCATTATAACTGTGTGAATATATTGTATATACTTACTGCATTATAACTGTAGTGAATATATTGTATAGACTTACTGCATTATAACTGTTGTGAATATATTGTATATACTTACTGCATTATAACTGTTGTGAATATATTGTATAGACTTACTGCATTATAACTGTAGTGAATATTTGTATAGACTTACTGCATTATAACTGTTGTGAATATATTGTATATACTTACTGCATTATAACTGTAGTGAATATATTGTATAGACTTACTGCATTATAACTGTTTGTGAATATATTGTATATACTTACTGCATTATAACTGTTGTGAATATATTGTATAGACTTACTGCATTATAACTGTAGTGAATATATTGTATAGACTTACTGCATTATAACTGTTGTGAATATATTGTATATACTTACTGCATTATAACTGTGTGAATATATTGTATAGACTTACTGCATTATAACTGTAGTGAATATATTGTATAGACTTACTGCATTATAACTGTAGTGAATATTTGTATAGACTTACTGCATTATAACTTTAGTGAATATATTGTATTGACTAACTGCATTATAACTGTAGTGAATATATTGTATAGACTTACTGCATTATAACTGTCGTGAATATATTGTATAGACTTACTGCATTATAACTGTATGTGAATATATTGTATAGACTTACTGCATTATAACTGTAGTAAATATATTGTATAGACTTACTGCATTATAACTGTAGTAAATATATTGTATATACTTACTGCATTATAACTGTCGTGAATATATTGTATAGACTTACTGCATTATAACTGTAGTGTATATATTGTATAGACTTACTGCATTATAACTGTCGTGTATATATTGTATAGACTTACTGCATTATAACTGTAGTGAATATATTGTATAGACTTACTGCAAGATAACTGTAGTGTATATATTGTATAGACTTACTGCATTATAACTGTAGTGAATATATTGTATAGACTTACTGCATTATAACTGTAGTGAATATATTGTATAGACTTACTGCATTATAACTGTAGTGAATATATTGTATAGACTTACTGCATTATAACTGTAGTGAATATATTGTATATACTTACTGCATTATAACTGTAGTGAATATATTGTATAGACTTACTGCATTATAACTGTAGTAAATATATTGTATAGACTTACTGCATTATAACTGTAGTGAATATATTGTATAGACTTACTGCATTATAACTGTAGTGAATATATTGTATAGACTTACTGCATTATAACTGTAGTGAATATATTGTATAGACTTACTGCATTATAACTGTCGTGAATATATTGTATAGACTTACTGCAGTCTGCTTCATCTTCACCTGATGTACAGTCCTCAATATGATCACATCTATATGTATCATTTACACAGGAACCATCATCACATTGGAGCTGGTATGGCATACACGCTGTAACAAGATATACTTGTAAATTGAGTAGTAACAATATATAAAATATTGAATCTTTAGTAATCTGTAACCTACTTAATCTCTAATATGGACTCTTAAACATCTTGCTTCTTTTTCAGAACCTGTCAATTATTAATTCTTTTTCGTGAAAGAATTTCGTTCGGTTAAATGAGATGTGTTGCGCATGCGCGGAACCAGTGTTGCAAAATGGCGGAGTGTTTCAACGTTGTTGAAAATTCGAACACTTTATTTTGATCGTAGATCAAAGTTTATCTGTGTATATTAAATTTAATTTGCGTGTATTAGCAAGATAAATATTATATTTTATTTTTTGGTGCGTATTTATATAGCATTGTTGTTTATTCGTGGAATAAACGTGTAATAAAATCGAATCGGGCACGTGGTGTCCGGACCGGAGTCAGTTAAAAAATATTTGTAGCTAACTATCGTCGATAGTTTTGTGAACTTTAATTAAAATGTCAACAAAAACCACCGAACGTTGTTCGGGCGATGATAAAAAGGACAATGAATCCGTTGATTTAACGGTTAAAGACAGAAAAGGTAAACAACCGGTTCTTGGAAAACAAATTACAAAAAAGAGTTCAAAAGAAAAAAGCACGTGTTCTTCAAAAGAAAGTGCATTGACTGAATCGGAAAATGTTTTATTGAACGCTATATCTGCTTTACAAAGGCTCAATAAATAAACAATCAGAAAGAATGGGTGCTCAAGAAAAGCAAATTAATGAGCAGAGTAAGCAATTAAAAGAATTTGCCTCCAGGATGTCGTATTTAGAGTATGATGGTGAGGAAGGTTATTATGATGAATGTGAAAATAGTAACTATGATGCTTTATGTGGACAAGAGGATCAATCATATCCTGATGTAAATGATATGTGTGAAGATGTAAATGATGAGCCTGGTAGGAATGAAGCTTGTAAAAGAAAGGCAGAAAATGATGATAACATTAACAATAATAGATTTAATGAAATGTCTAAACGATTCAAAGCAGCAGAAATTTGTGACCAGAACATTGATTCTGTATTAGCAAGTAATGTTAATGAACTTTTTCGAAATGGCATTGACGAAACCAAATATAATGAGATCGTTAAGGATGAAATAACGCCAAGACCAGGAAATTGTGAGAGTCTTGTAGTGGTTCAAACAAATCCATTAATATGGGACTCATTAAGTCCCGTTGCGAGATCTAATGATAAGAAAATGCAGAACATTGAGGCATCTGTAGTTAAATCGGCCACTAAACTGACAAAAGTTGTAAATAAAATGGCAAAATTAGAGACAAAGGTTGAGAGTGATGTGTTCAGTGGGTTGATCGATGAGTGTAATGATGTTTTAGCTTTGCTTGGGCAAGCAAACAAGCAAATTAACTTCACTCGAAAAAAGATTTCCTAAGGCCGGAACTAAATAAAGAATATAGTCATTTATGTAATCATAATAGACCCTTTACAAAGTATTTGTTCGGGGATGATGTTTCTAGATCAGCGAAAGAAATTGAAGATTGTTCGAAAATAAGCAATCGCATGTTCCAGAACAGATATCAGAGAGGAACATTTATAGGCCGAAGGCGACCAAATAGATTTAACAGAGGTCGTAGTGGTTTTGGTAGAGGAATGATGAGAGGTCGTGGTCAAGTTCAGTCATATGGTGAACCAGTATCTGCCTCAAAAAACTTCCTAAGGCGGGGTCTCGCCCTTACAGACAGTAAACGAGGTAGGTACAACTTTTATTGCAGGAAGATTAGCAAATTTTATTGATGAATGGCGAAAATTGACTAGTGATAGCTATATTTTAGATATTGTTGAACATTGTCACATAAATCTTGAAGAAGATGAGCTTAAAAATTTAAATAATGCATGCATTCAATACAATTTTAATAAAAAAGAAAAAATGGTTATTCAAAATGAAATTCAAAAATTGCTTAAATTACAAGTTATTGTTGAAGTAGAAGAATGTCAAAATCAAATTTTATCACCTATATTTTTAAGACCAAAAAAGAAATGGTGAATACAGAATGGTATTGAACTTAAAACGTTTGAATAATTTTATCCCATACAAACATTTCAAGATGGAAACTTTTGAAAATTCTCTAACACTAATTTCTAAAGATACATATATGGCTTCAGTTGATTTGCGCCATGCATATTATTCCATTAAGATAGCTGAAAGAACAGCAAAAAATATTTTAGATTTACATGGGAAAATAAGATTTTTCAGTTCACATGTTTGGCAAATGGAGTGAGTGAAGGTCCAAGATTATTTTACTAAGTTGCTAAAGCCTGTTTATGCAAAGTTACGAAGTATGGGATATGTTAATTGTGGGTTTATAGATGATAGTCTTCTTTGTGGTGATTCAAAACATGAATGTACACAAAATGTTCTAGCCACAACTAATCTTATGAAAAACATAGGCTTCATGATCAATGAAGAAAAATCAGTATTTATTCCAACAAAGAAAATTCAGTATTTAGGGAACATAATTGATTCGGAAAAAATGATTGTACATTTACCATTGGAAAGACAAGAGTCTATTATTTCAAGCTGCAAAAGTCTTTTAAAAAAGCAAACAGCAACTGTTAGAGAAGTGGCAAAAATTATAGGTTTAATTGTGGCTAGTTTTTCAGCTGTTGAATATGGAAAATTACATTATAGACAATTAGAAATGAACAAAATTTATGCTCTTCAAAAAAGTAAGGGTAATTATGACAGTTTTATGGTAATAACAAATGACATGAAAAAAGAAATGCAATGGTGGATAAAAAATCTTACATTTCAAGTGAGACATATTTTTAAAAAACCTATTGAGGCTGAAATGTACACGGATGCCTCGAGACTCGGATGGGGAGCAAAATTAGAAGAATGTAAAAATAGGGGGTCGTTGGAATAATACAGAAACAAATTATCATATAAATGCATTGGAATTATTAGCTATATACCATGCTCTAAAGGCTTTTTAGAGAAAAATTGCATGATAAACATGTTAAAATATTTTCTGATAATACTACTGCAGTAAATTATATAAATAACATGGGTGGTATTAAATCCCAAATTTGTAATAGCATAAGTGTTGATATATGGACTTGGTGTATACATAATAATATATGGTTAACATGTACATACATAGCAGGTTCTGATAATGTGGAAGCTGATTCAGCTTCAAGATGCTTTAAGGATCATCTTGAATGGAAATTAGATAAAAACATATTTCAAAATATTTGTATTAAATGGGGGAACCTGATATTGATATGTTTGCTTCACGTTTGAATGCACAATTACCAGTTTATTGTTCTTGGAAACCTGATCCAGATAGCACTTTTATAAATGCATTTACTTTAAATTGGAACACATTTAATAATATATATTTTTTCCCACCTTTTAGTTTGATGGGACGGTGCTTGCAGAAAATAAGGCAGGAAAAGGCCAAGGCATTGTTATTGCTCCACTATGGCCCACACAGCCATGGTTCACACGTCTATTGGAATTAATTGTCGATTACCCAGTGATAATTTGCAAAAGGAAAGCACTGCTGACTCTTCCTCATACAAACAAAGAACATCCACTTACGAAAAAACTTCAACTGATTGCATGCAAAGTGTCAGGCAACAGTTTCGAGAACGAGGACTTTCAGAAATGTCTACCGATATTCTCATGTCATCTTGGAAATGTGGCACCAAGAAGCAGTACAGTGTATTCATCAAAAGATGGTTTTGTTTCTGCAGTGAAAGGAAAATCAATCAAATTTCTCCAACTGTGGAAGAAGTAATTGAGTTTTTAACACAACAATTTGAAAATGGATTAAGTTATGACAGTCTAAATACAGCCGTAGTGCTTTATCATCGTTGGGTTTAAATTTCAACAATTTTTAAAATTGGGTGCTCATCCACTAGTGATTCGTTATATGAAAGGAATTTTTGCATTAAGACCACCAAAACCTCGTTATGTCAGCACATGGGATGTAAATGCGGTTTTATTGTATCTTCGTAAATTATCACCGGTTTAAAACAACTTACACTGAAAGATTTAACATTGAAACTTACAATGCTTATGGCCTTAACTCAGGCAGCACGCGTCCAGACTTTTTGCATTTGATTAGTGGTGTTCAGTTTAAAAAGTTAAAATTCTGAGTTTGTTTTTAAGTTAGTTTGATTCTTTGAAACAGAATCGACCTAATTTTAACAAGTTCATTTGTTAGTTTTTCAAAAGCTTACCCTCCAGATAGGAGGTTATGTATATATACGGTGTTAAAAGAATACTTGTTGCGCACAAGACCCTTGCGGTTAATGTAGATGAAAAGGATCAAAGATTTGTGAATAAAGTTATGTAAAACCTTATTAAACATGTAAGTGAGACACGATCTCTAGTGGTTGAAAACAAATCATGTTAACGTTCTGGAATCGATATAAAGAAATATGGTTCTCATAGTATTAGATCAGCTGCTAGTTCTAAAGCAAAGATTAATTCAGTACCAATTAGTGACATACTAGCCAAAGCAGGGTGGTCGAATGTCAAGACATTTGCCAAGTTTTATGACCGTCCTGTTGAAGGCAATTCTGACAGATTTCAAGAGGGTGTACTCGCCTGATTTGTGAGTAAAATTTTTTCACATTATTGCTTTAAAATCTCATTTAACCGAACGAAATTCTTTCACGAAAAAGAATTTAAAAAATTAAACGAGACTTACCTTGGTTAAGTCGATGTTTGATTTGAATTCTTTGAAGTAAAGAATTGAGTGAGGCTTAAATGCCTCCCACCCACCCTACAAAATGAGGTACAGCAATATTGCTGTATTAAGAATAATTTCAAATATTTGAAGTTTCTATGGAGTTAATAATGAGAAAAAATTCATTTAAAAACTGCTTCCGCGCATGCGCAACACATCTCATTTAAGCCTCACTCAATTCTTTACTTCAAAGAATTCAAATCAAACATCGACTTAACCAAGGTAAGTCTCGTTTAATTTTTTAAATTTTAAGATACCCAGATGGAAATTTCAATTTAGTAAGCCAACAGTACAGAAGAGCTTGGTCAGATTGATAGAACGTGCAGGCTGGCATGGTTCTATATTGGTCAAAAATACATATTTCTTAAGCTCCTATTTTATATTGAAAACAAGCTATGCAATGTAATATAATGGCATATTACTGAGCTAAACAGGTATAAGTTAAGTGTAATAAAATTGGTTTACAACATAAAGTACAGCAAGCAAATTCATTATTTTGTATAAAACATAGTCATTATTTCCACAAATACAATATAGTATTAATTGCCAAATATGAATGCATTTTTTTGAGAAAAGGTGGAATAATTTCTTGCATTTTTTATGAACAGATGGAATATTTTTTAACTACATGTTGATACATACTACAGTTTGATTCATCATCTTCATCTTCAATACAATCTACAGTAACGTCACAGACCATAGACATTTCAATACATGTTCCGTTACCACATTGGAAGTCATCATAGCAACCTGAAATAAACATATTTTCTTCATATTCACTTATATCTATATTTTCAAGCTAAATATAATAGAAGGAAGAAAAAGTCAAATAAAGCCAAACACAATATAATGACTTTTGTATTTGAAGTATGGCTGATATATTCATCCTTGTCAATTTATTGAAAAATAGGTAAAAAAATTACAATTTTTCAAGGTAAGTCAGTTCAAAAAAATAATAAATATACTATGCTATAATGTCTTTATTGTATATTTTTCTGGATTTTAATACTGATTTAAACATGTTTTGGTTATATTTTCGTCAGTGAACCCACCTAACCAGAATTCCTGGATAACAAACCAGTAATTACCAATTTCTTCACATCCTACATGATTTCTGAGTGAGTCATGAGAGACAAATATCTCTATATTCAAGACCAATTGTCACAGAGAAATTACCCCTTGCTCGAGGATTAAACTCCTAGATTAATGATCTGATGCTCTGTCTATTAAGCTAAGCAGTCAAAAGTCGATTAAAATTAGCATAAGTTTGAGTCATTTAACACTTTATTGAAATAGCACAGTTGCAGGGTGCCCATTAAAATTTAGTTATACCTTTGCAAAGAGACATTTTTTGAGAGGAAAAAATCTTGGTTGTTTACTGAGAGGTAAATACCTGTATTGTATATATTGATCTGGAATTGTATTTGGCTAAGTTGATTTTACTAGGCTAAATTTGAATAAGTGCATCATCACATAGCATAATCTGTTATAGTAAAAATCCAAAGGAAACCAAAAACAAGCAACAGATTAAAGTATCTTGAACTTCACTAAACCTCAAACTGGATAAATTCTGACTACAAACTAGGCAAACAACAGATACAGCTTGAAATATACTGACTACAAACTAGGTAAACAATAGATACAGTTTGAGATATACTGACTACAAACTAGGCAAACAATAAATACAGCTTGAGATATACTGACTACAAACTAAGCAAACAATAGATACAGCTTTAGATATACTGACTACAAACTAGGTAAACAATAGATACAGTTTAAGATATACTGACTACAAACTAGGCATACAATAGATACAGTTTGAGATAAACTGACTAAAAACAATAGATAAAGCTTGAGATATACTGACTACAAACTAGACAAACAACAGATACAGCTTGATATATACTGACTACAAACTAGGCAAACAACAGATACAGCTTGATATATACTGACTACAAACTAGACAAACAACAGATACAGCTTGAGATATACTGACTACAAACTAGACAAACAACAGATACAGCTTGATATATACTGACTACAAACTAGGCAAACAACAGATACAGCTTGATATAAACTGACTACAAACTAGACAAACAACAGATACAGCTTGAGATATACTGACTACAAACTAGACAAACAACAGATACAGCTTGATATATACTGACTACAAACTAGACAAACAATAGATACAGCTTGAGATATACTGACTACAAACTAGGCAATCAACAGATACAGCTTGATATATACTGACTACAAACTAGGCAAACAATAGATACAGTTTGAGATATACTGACTACAAATTAGGCAAACAATAGATACAGCTTGATATAAACTGACTACAAACTATGCAAACAATAGATACTGTTTGATATATACTGACTACAAACTATGCAAACAATAGATACAGCTTGAGATATCCTGACTACAAACTAGGCAAACAATAGATAAAGCTTGAGATAAACTGACTACAAACTAGGCAAACAAAAGATACAGCTTGAGATATACTGACTACAAACTAGGCAAACAATAGATACAGCTTGAGATATACTGACTACAAACTAGGCAAGCAATAGATATAGCTTGAGATAAACTGACTAAAAACTAGGCAAACAATAGATACAGCTTGGGATATACTGACTACAAACTAGGCAAACAATAGATATAGCTAAATATATATCCAGACTACAAAATAGGCAAACAACAGATACAGCTTGAGATATACTGACTACAAACTAGGCAAAAAATGGATATAGCTTAAGATATACTGACTACAACCTAGGCAAACAATAGATACAGCTTGAGATATACGGACTAAAAAATAGGCAAACAACAGATATAGCTTGAGATATACTGACTACAATCTAGGCAAACAATAGATATAGTTTGAGATATACTGACTACAAACTAGGCAAACAATAGATATAGTTTGAGATATACTGACTACAAACTAGGCAAACAATAGATATAGTTTGAGATATACTGACTACAAACTAGGCAAACAATAGATACAGCTTGAGATATACTGACTACAAACTAGGCAAACAATAGATACAGCTTGAGATATACTGACTACAAACTAGGCAAACAATAGATACAGCTTGAGATATACTGACTACAAACTAGGAAAACAATAGATAAAGTTTGAGATATACTGACTACAAACTAGGCAAACAATAGATACAGTTTGAGATATACTGACTACTAACAAGGCAAACAATATATACACTGACTACAAACTAGATTAACAATAGATATAGCTTGAGATATACTGACTAAAAACTAGGCAAACACTAGAATTGGAAAACAACAGATACAGTTGGAGATTTAATGATAGTAAAGATTAGTTGGAAATATACTGACCACAATTAAACTCATCAGAAGAGTCCTCACATTGACTCACTTGGTCACAGACTTGTGATTCTGGTATACCCAACTACCAAGTCCAACAGTGAAATTCTCAATAAGCACCCAATAAGCTAGAAAAGTTGTGGGAAAAATAAATTAACATTCAATAAGTTTGACAATAAATGATTCGCTGGTTTATTATTTCCCTTGTTGACCATGTGTCATTTTTAACAAAAAAAAGAATATAAGAAAATCTAGCATAAATCATGTTTTTAAAGTACAGTAAAATTCCCTCCCCCAAAATTAAAGACCAAATCGGGAAAGGGACCAAAAGTGGTTTTAATTTGCGGGGGGTCTTAAATTTTGGTGAATAATTCCTTTATACTGCTTTACACAACTTTTGACCATGGTCCTATTGTAGTCCATTTTGGATGAAAAAAGCAAATATGTTATCTTAAACCTACAAATACAATATAAAAGTGTTGTTTATAATTTAAAAATCTGATTTGGAAGAAAGACATCTAATATCAAATTCTATGTGGTCTAATTTGAATATTAATTATTATATGTTGTACATAATTCACCCATCAAATAGAAAATTAATTCTTTGCATAATCAACATGCTTAAAACAGCATTCAACCACAATAAAATTTACTTTCTCATCTGATTTCATACAATATCCCAATGATATAAGGTGTTATTGACACGTAATGAAATCAAGTGTCATGCCTTAGAGCATTCAAACAGATAATTATAAACAACACATTCAAGATCTACGTAGGTGTTCGACTTTAAATCAGTGGTCTCAATTGTAGGGTCAAATCAAGAACAAAACATAGAATTGGGACTGAATCTGGTGGTCTTAAAGAGTGTAGGGCAAAAAGCCCCCCCCCCCCATTTAAAAATGACAAGGTGGACAAAAGCCCCCACCCCTATTAAATTTACACATAGGACAAAAGCCCCCCCCCCCTCAAAATACAGGTAGGACAAAAGCCCAACCAGTCCATCAAACAAAAGCCCCCCTAAGGTCTATAGACCAGACTGATTACTATAATTACTATCTTTTTTCACACGCCCAGTGTTTCGGGAACTTGGATTATACTTCAAATAAATCTATACAAGTCTCCACCTTTCACTTATTTCCTTGATAAGCGTTGATAAGCGATTCTCTTAAAATATTCATTTACATTTGTACTGTACAATATATAATAAACATAAAAACATTCATATCATCAATGAATTATATACAAATTACACAATAAATCAATTTAGAACTTTTGTACCTTTAAATTTAAATCTTTAAGTAAATTATCTTTTAAAACAATTGCATTTATTTGTTGAATTAAGCATACCGAATTTGACTTGTCTCAATACATCAAGTTCCCGATTTAAACTGACAAAATTCTAAAAAAAAAAAAAATGTTTGATGGACTGGGGGGGGGGGGGCTTTTGTCCTACCTGTATTTTTGATGGGGGGGATGGGGGGCTTTTGTTCTATGTGTAAATTTCATGCTTTTCATTTCATTGCTTTTGTCTGTATCCCCGTCTTAACCTTTTACCCCTTGAGCATATTGCGAAAAAATGGCCGTGTTCATTGAAAAACCTCCTGTAACAAGATCAAACTGCTATGAAGCTATGAAAAATGCTTCAATACTGATGAAACTTGGCACAAATGTTGACTAGACCATAGCCTCTGTAACAGCATGCTCAATTGTAAATTGCCTGTTACCATAACAACGGGGGATGTCTCAAAATTGCCAAAAATCACTATTTTGCATCGTTTTTTTCCAGCAAAACTGATTTCAAAGTGCTGCAACTTCTCAATGAATTGAGATAGAGTAAAAGGCTTTTCAGCGTCGGTTACTAGTTACCCTAAGATCGACCTGAGGCCATTTTTAGCCTGTCACATGTCCAAAATTTTCTTGGCGATGAGGGGGACTCCGCCCCCCTTCAAACCCCCTAAACAGAAGGGTTCTAACAACCCCCTGATGTAACATTTGGATGGTGACCGCGTCGAAAAAGTGGTCCCTTTTTTAACAACATTTCTCAAACAAAAAACAGTGTTTTTGGGCCTAAATAGGGCATTTCTTCATTGTTTGAGGCCTCAAAAAGGGGGGGGGGGACAAAAAAGCTGTCGAAACACGCTTATATAAGGGAAAAGGTTAAAAGTGGATAAGCAAGGTGGTCTTAACACCTGATCATGTACATGTAGCCATTGACATTAAGAACAGAAAATTCCGTACTTCCTGTACTTATTTACCGTAAACCTCCAAATTCATGCTTATTTTTATGAAAATTTTTGAAATATTTTTAAAATCAGATATTGTAAAGTGAACTTAGAAAGTTATTTACACATTGCAAATGGCACTTAAAATCTACAATCTAAAAATAGGTCTTTATATGAGAAAATAGCCCTCACTGTGTCAGTCACCCAGTAGAAATATGGTGATACATGTATGTAGTTAATGACTGGTTTTGCAGTATTTATCCTCATATTTATACCATGTGACTAACATGATGTAAACCTAATAATGTCTATACAACTCTCCTTATTATTCAAGTAATTTTCTTTTTGATCTAAGAAAATAAATATTTCTTTACAAAGATATTATAATTACTTTAGGAACTGTAAACCTTCAATGAGTTTAAAAATATAACAAAAATAATATTCTTGCATATTAGACAGAATTATCTACTGTTTACACCAGTGCTAGAAAAATCTAACTTCCTTCTGTGTAAGACAAGTAACGTCATACCCGTGCGCTTTCTGTGAATGAACTGCATTATAAGAGTGACATCATTTTGCCATTATGAATGAAGTCCATACCCTACTGTAAGAAAAAAATGCGGAATGGAAATATTACTTTTAGTAATTACTTCCCAAAATATAATTAATATGTTATATGCAAGAAACAGAATCAAACATCGGCTGTCGTAACAGACAAGAATATGTAGCTCTAGGGCACTGTCTAGCGGAAACTTATCAGAGCCTTATTACCACTGTAAACAGTTACCATTGAACTATATATTCTGGTCTGTACTGACAGCCAGTGCAAGATCCTTATAGTCAAGTGTATCATAAGGTTATTTGTAAAGCTAACAAACTTACTACAATTGCTTTCATCCTCTTCTTCACTACAGTCTGGTAAACCATCACATAATTTATCACCATCAACACAGCTTCCGTCTAAACACTGAAACCTACCAACACAACCTGAAGTATAAACAGCAGACTGTTAAGTTGTGAGCATTGTATTGAATAAATTAATCAGGAAAGTCATTTTTCGCTCTTCTATTTAAGGTTGTGTATTCGATGACTTGTGTCATTTGGTCTCTAAAGTAAACAATACAAAATATTTTTGCAAAATAAACGAAATAGCTGAAAGACCAGTGATTCAATATTTGCAAAAAATAGAACGGTCTAGCAGCTATAAATATCCATACTGATATATTAGTAACACTAGGGAATGTTGCCGCTTTATGATTCAGTAAAAACATGTGATAGAATTCAAGCGTGGCCAGCAGAGCTTCTAGTATGATGCCTGTCTTGAGAGGTTGTGTTACAATTCCCTAAAGGGTCTTTAAAGTACAAATATTTCTGTGGATGACATGTGAGTTATAGAACGATATATAACCAGTACAGTTTGTTCTCAATGAAGATCCGGTAATGAGATTTAGTTCTCAGTCTGTTGGGTACAAAAAACTTCCGAGAGTTGATCAGGAGCACACCAACCTGACTGTTGCATGCTTAAATCCAAAACTTTAACAGTGTTATCTTAATACAGAGATTTACGACTATGTGTTAAATAATGCACCATCATTTCACCCAGAAGCAAAACAATAATTAATAAAAAAACCTTGATTTACCCCTACAAAAGATGGCAAAGACTGGAAAGTTCTTGACCTCTGTTTTCTAGGATATTGATTGTATTCTGATAATAGTATACAAAAAGGGACAACAATCTGTAGCACACATTATGCTTTATTTCTTAGGCAGACAAAGAAACTATTGAACTTAAGTGCTGTGAGTAACTCATTTAATGAAAACTGTTTAACCAGCACTATGATCACATTTCCATGGCTGAATTTGCAGACTGTGGTGTTGAACATTCCTCTTATCTGCCTGATAAGTGGTGTTGAAGTGATTGGACATTCCTCTTATCTGCTTGATATGTGGTGTTGAAGTGATTGGACATTCCTCTTATCTGCCTGATATGTTGTGTTGAAGTGATTGGACATTCCTCTTATCTGTCTGATCTGTGGTGTTGAAGTGATTGGACATTCCTCTTATCTGCCTGACATGTTGTGTTGAAGTGATTGGACATTCCTCTTATCTGCCTGATATGTGGTGTTGAAGTGATTGGACATTCCTCTTATCTGTCTGATCTGTGGTGTTTGAAGTGATTTGACATTCCTCTTATCTGCCTGATCTGTGGTGTTGAAGTGATTGAACATTCCTCTTATCTGCCTGATATGTGGTGTTGAAGTGCTTGAATATTCCCCATTTCTGTCTGATCTGTGGTGTTGAAGTGATTGGACATTCCTCTTATCTGCTTGATCTGTGGTGTTTGAAGTGATTGAACATTCCTCTTATCTGCTTGATATGTGGTGTTGAAATGATTGAATATTCCCCATTTCTGTCTGATCTGTAGTGTTTAAGTGATTGAACATTTCCCTTATCTACATGCTCTGAGGTGTTGTAGTGCTTGAATGTTCCCCATTTCTGTCTGATCTGTGGTGTTGAAGTGATTGGACATTCCCCTTATCTGCCTGATCTGTGGTGTTGAAGTGATTGAACATTCCCCTTATCTACCTGATCTGTTGTGTTGAAGTGATTGGACATTCCCCTTATCTGCCTAATCTGTGGTGGTGAAGTGATGGGACATTCCTCACATCTGCCTGATCTGTGGTGTTGAAGTAATTGGACATCCCCCATATCTGCCCAATCTGTAGTGTTGAAGTAATTGGACATTCCCCTTATCTACCTGATCTGTGGTGTTGAAGTGATTGAACATTCCCCTTATCTGCCTGACATGTTGTGTTGAAGTGATTGGACATTCCCCTTATCTGCCTAATCTGTGGTGGTGAGGTGATGGGACATTCCCCACATCTGCCTGATCTGTGGTGTTGAAGTAATTGGACATTCCCCATATCTGCCCAATCTGTAGTGTTGAAGTAATTGGACATTCCCCTTATCTGTCTGATCTGTGGTGTTGAAGTGATTGAACATTCCCCTGATCTACCTGATCTGTGGTGTTAGAGAGATTGGACATTCCCTTTATCTGTCTGATCTGTGGTGTTGAAGTGATTGAACATTCCCCTTATCTGCCTGATCTGTAGTGTTGAAGTGATTGGACATTCCCCTTATCTGCCTGATCTGTGGTGTTAAAGAGATTGGATATTCCCCTTATCTGCCTGATCAGGGTGTTGAAGTGATTGGACATTCACCTTATCTGCCTGATCTGTGGTGTTAAAGTGATTGGACATTCCCCTTCTCTGTCTTACCTGTGGTGTTGAAGTGATTTGACATTCCCCTGACCGCCTGATCTGTGGGTTGAAGAGGTTGGACATTCCCCTTATCTGCCTGATCTGTGATGTTTGGACATTCCCCTTATCTGCCTGTTCAGTGGTGTTCAAGTGATTGGACATTATAATTATAATAGGGCATTGCTTACAATCCACCTGATTCATAATAGGGCATTACTTCCAATCCATCTGATTTATAGTAGGGCATTACTTACAATCCATATCATTTATAGTAGGGCATTACTTACAATCCATCTCATTTATAGTAGGGCATTACTTCCAATCCATCTCATTTATAATAGGGCATTACATTCAATCCACCTGATTCATAATAGGGCATTACTTCCAATTCATCTGATCTATAGTAGGGCATTACTTACAATCCATCTCATTTATAGTAGGGCATTACTTACAATCCATCTCATTTATAGTAGGGCATTACTTACAATCCATCTCATTTATAATAGGGCATTACATTCAATCCACCTGATTCATAATAGGGCATTACTTCCAATTCATCTGATCTATAGTAGGGCATTACTTACAATCCATCTCATTTATAGTAGGGCATTACTTACAATCCATCTCATTTATAATAGGGCATTACATTCAATCCACCTGATTCATAATAGGGCATTACTTCCAATTCATCTGATCTATAATAGGGCATTACTTACAATCCATCTCATTTATAGTAGGGCATTACTTACAATCCATCTCATTTATAGTAGGGCATTACTTACAATCCACCTGATTTATAATTGGGCATTACTTACAATCCACCTCATCTGTTCCATTGTCACAATCATGATATCCATCACAGACTACAGCATTGAATACACAATTTCCATCGCCACAATCAAACTGATTACTCTCACAGATATCTGAAATTTAGATTAAAACCATATATTTTGTCTTTTATCATATTCATTTTTATCTTGTCTTTATAACATACAGTATATCTATTCTTTATATATTACAGTATATCTCATCTTTAATTCATACAGTGTATCTCATTCAAATATAATACAGTATATCTTTTCTTAACCTTTAACCTCATATAGATGGGGTTTTTTTTACAGATTTTTACCCCCCCCCAAATTCTGAGGCCTCAAATAGTGAAAAAAATGCCCTATTTTGTCCCCAAACACTTGTTTTATTTTTGAAAAATGTTTTTAAAAAAAGTGAGCCATCTCCTATGAAAAGGTGACAGAGTGGGGATGTGCCCCATTCGGCTTGGGTGCTTGCAGGGGTCAGCAGCCCCCTCATCATCAAAAAACCTTTGGACTTGTGACAGGCTTATATCAATAATTATTTTATCTAGATATGAATTTGTACTGAAAAAATAGCAAGGTATTAAGCATGTTTTTTTTTTGTTTTGGTTTTTTTTTAAGCGCTAATTTTATCATATATTTGGTCCTTTTTAGAAGGTCGGTACACCTAACAGGCTTTCCTCCAAAACTAACCAGTCCACAAGTGAAGGAATTTAGTGAATAAATATATATTTACAAAGGTGATTGATTTTCGCCAAGTGTTGAAAAAGAATTTACCTCTTCCGAATCCAAGTTAAATAATCAAATCATAACACCATGTGATTTTTTTTTATTTGCAGCTTCCATAAAAATAGCTGCTTTATTAAAACCATTCTTTTTGATTGAAAAAAAATGTGTGCAAAAGAAAAACAATAAACATAATAAATCTACATGTATCTCCAAAGCAAAATTGAAGCCTAAATCTGCAATACATCACAAAATTCTTAAACATTTTCTGCCATATACATAAGGTCAACCAAAAAAGCATGAAAAAATAAGACTTGATAAATAATAGTATGTAAGCATTTTTAGCCTATATTTTCCTATTTACCATTAAAGCCTATCCTGTTGTACCCTGGGTTTCAGAAATAAACACATATACATACAAGGAAAAATCGTCCTAAAGTGTCTTAACATTTAACATGCTTAATATTTTCTATGCACTTGTCAAGTTAACTTTTCTGGAACTGTCAATTATTTGTTTTACATGGATGTGCAGGTTGGCCCAGCTTTCTTCTTTACAGTTAAAGAATTGTAAAGGTTAAATTAACATAACACTAAGCATGTTGCACATTACACATAATAATACAGGTATATCAAAATAATGTTTTTCATTCACATTTCATGGGTTAAAATATGATAAATTTATTAAATTTTTTTTCTACTTTTTATACAGAATTTAATAAGTCTGTGAAAGAACACTGGTATTTCTTACATAAATATAATATAATAATATATTTGAAACTGACCATTCAGAGAACAGTCATGCTGAATTATAAATGTTATATTACCAACACAAGAGCTATATATGACAAAGTCAGTAATGGCATTAAGTTGCACAATCTATATGTTTAAGATCATGCTTCATTGATGCAATTTTCAAGGCTTATATATTATAATTTCTCAGTCATGCAAGAGGGAATTATCACTTTTCATATTCAATTCAACCATTCATATTATAGGAGATATAATTATATACATGTTGTTTCACAATCAATATATAAATCCAACTTGTTTCTAACAAGGGTTTTTTTTTCACAACATTTCATCAACATCATTGCAAATTTAATCTATATGAAAAGTTTGCTAAGATGAATAAAGATTTTTTTTTCTTAACATTTAAAAAATGGCCAAATTTTTTTTTGAAAACCCTTGCTACAAATAATATGGATAAAAAATGCCTTTATTTACCTTTTACATAGAAAATAACTTTAGAGGTGATGGAACCAACCTCATTTACAGCCCGACAGGTATAGGTACCAGCATCTTCCACTCTAGCCTGAGGAATGATCAAAATACCGTCACCAAGAATGGCGTCTGCTGGAAGTGGTCCGTCATTTCTTGACCATGTGATAGTTGGCAGAGGTGTTCCTAAAATATTGCTTTACCTCTTAACATTGTCATAGCAAAAATTTCAGGCATTGTAGAGCAATTTAAAAAAAAATCAAAAGTTTCAATAAGTTTCGGCAGAACGAAAAATTTTAACAAACAGAGGAAAAAGAAAGAGTTTCAATAAGTTTGCCTGAAAGATGTTGACATCTTTGGCAGAACGAAAAATTTTAACAAACAGAGGAAAAAGAAAGAGTTTCAATAAGTTTGCCTGAAAGATGATGACATCTTCGGCAGAACGAAAAATTTTAACAAACAGAGGAAAAAGAAAGAGTTTCAATAAGTTTGCCTGAAAGATGTTGACATCTTTGGCAGAACGAAAAATTTTAACAAAGGCAAAAGAAAGAATTTCAATAAGTTTGCCTGAAAGATGTTAACATCTTTGGCAGAACGAAAAATTTTAACAGAAGAAAAAGAAAGAGTATCAATAAGTTTGCCTGAAAGATGTTGACATCTTTGGCAGAACGAAAAATTTTAACAGAAGAAATAGAAAGAGTTTCAATAAGTTTGCCAGAAAGATGTTGACATCTTTGGCAGAACGAAAAATTTTAACAAACAGAGGAAAAAGAAAGAGTATCAATAAGTTTGCTTGAAAGATGTTGACATCTTTGGCAGAACGAAAAATTTTAACAGAGGAGAAGAAAGAGTTTCATTAAGTTTGCCTGAAAGATGATGACATCTTTGGCAGAACGAAAAATTTTAACAAACAGAGGAAAAAGAAATTAAATCTTTTAAAAAATCTGGAAACAAAGTGATGCCTCAGAAGCATTTATCACAACTAAATAACATGAAAATTGCAGACTCAATTTCATTGAGGGAAAATGAATAAATGCAACATCCCTCAAACCCCTTACCACCAGTTTGAGCGGTAATCATTCCCAACACTTAATAGTGCTGGCATCAATCATCCCAACGGACCAGAAAAATATAACAACAATGAAGTGAAGTATATGGAAACTTTTTACAGCTGCCACACAGCACTTGCACCTGCTCCAAACCTCAAACTGAAAGTTCAAATCAGGTTTTGAAAAAAAACAAAACTATCTGAATCTATGAAAAAATACTTTGAATTTAAAAGGATATAAAATGTAGGTCATACCTGTAACAATACACTCTATGGAAACCCTGTCTCCAACATTGACGTACTGTGTATCAACATTCTCTCCATGGCCATCATCAATACCTGTAATAATCAAACTTCATTACTCAATCATTATTTTCATAAAAAAGAGGAGTTGACATGGTTAACATTTATGTAACAAATCATACATAAATTTTGCCTGACAGAAGCTGTATCATTTCTTAAAAGGTAGATGGTGATAAAGGTTCCTGCTACAAAGGAAAAGAGTGAATGAAATAACCAGAAAGTAGCTGTTTGGTTAAGAACACATTGGAAGGTAATTTATAGAGGATATTGAATTAGTGCAAATTTTATACAGAATTTATTGAACGAGTTGAATAAAATTATATTATGCGAGCCTCTGTCGAGTCTAATATTATCTTATTCAATGAGTTCAATAACTTCAGTAATGAACTTACACGAATATAATATTCTATTTATCACATACCAAAAATAAAGACAGTTTGAAATGATAAAGAAATATTTTTCATTGACATGCCTATAACGCTAACATTTAGCGCGTCTTAACGCTATGCTTATATAAAGCAAATGACGTCACATCAATATATATGCATGGCTGTGTAATACCATTTTTACGGAGTCGCAAAATTGACACAGATATGTGATAAACCTGGTCATGAAACACCCAAGAATGAAAAACAAGAGGGCCATGATGGCCCTGAGGTCGCTCACCTGTATAAAGGCACCCGGAGCGGGGCCAGTTTAAACCCCAGGGCTTTTATTTGAACAAACTTGGAAGACACCCATTAGAAGATGTTTCACAATGTTAAGTTTTTACTACACACATATAATGAAAAACAATGATCTACTCCCCCCCCCCTCGTCAGCTCATTGGGTTTTTCAAAAGAAGATTTTTTAAGTTTTTACTATACACATATAGTTAAAAACAATGACACCCTGGGGCGGGGCCAATTTTGACCCCCAGGGCTTTTATTTGAACAAACTTTGTAGACACTCACTAGAAAATGTTTCATGCTCAATATCTAAACTCCAGCTATTTGGTTTTTTTCAAAGAAGATTTTTAAGATTTTGCTATACACATATAAGGAAAATCAATGACCTCCGGGGCGGGGCCAATTTTCACACCAGGGCTTTTATTTGAACAAACTTGGTAGACACTCATTAGAACATGTTTTATGCTAAATATCTTAGCTCTAGCTCTTTGAGTTCTTTAAAAGAAGATTTTTTAAGATTTTACTGTATGCATATAGGGAAAATCAATGACCCCCTGGGGCGGGGCCAATTTTGACCCCCAGGCTTTTATTTGAACAAACTTTGTAGACACTTACTAGAAGATGTTTCATGCTTAATATCTAAACTCTAGCTATATGGGTTTTTTCAAAGAAGATTTTTAAGTTTTTGCTATACACATATAAGGAAAATCAATGACACCCGCAGCGGGGCAAAGTTTGACCCCAGGGCTTTTATTTGAACAAACTTTGTAGACACTCACTAGAAGATGTTTTATGCTTAATATCTAAACTCTAGCTCTTTGAGTTCTTTAAAAGAAGATTTTTTAAGTTTTTACAATATGCATATAGGGAAAATCAATGACCCCCGGGGCGGGGCCAATTTTGACCCCAGGGCTTTTATTTGAACAAACTTGGTAGACACTCATTAGAACATGTTTCATGCTAAATATCTTAGCTCTAGCTCTTTGAGTTCTTTAAAAGAAGATTTTTTAATTTTTTACAATATGCATATAGGGAAAATCAATGACCCCCTGCAGCGGGGCCAATTTTGACCCTAGGGCTTTTATTTGAACAAACTTGGTAGAAACTCATTAGAAGATGTTTCATGCTAAATATCTTAGCTCTAGCTCTTTGGGTTCTTTAAAAGAAGATTTTTAAGTTTTAACTATATGCATATAGATAAAATCAAAGACCCACTCGGGCGGGGCCAATTTTGACCCCAGGGCTTTTATTTGAACAAACTTGGTAGACACTCATTAGAAGATGTTTCATGCTAAATATCTTAGCTCTAGCTCTTTGGGTTCTTTAAAAGAAGATTTTTAAGTTTTTACAATATGCATATAGGGAAAATCAAAGACCCCCTGGGGCGGGGCCAATTTTGACCCCAGGGCTTTTATTTGAACAAACTTGGTAGACACCCATTAGAACATGTTTCATGCTAAATATCTTAGCTCTAGCTCTTTGAGTTCTTTAAAAGAAGATTTTTAAGTTTTTACTATATGCATATAGGGAAAATCAATGACCCCCTGGGGCTTTGATTTGAACAAACTTGGTAGACACTCATTAGAAGATGTTTCATGCCAAATGTCTAAGCTCTAGCTCTTAGGGTTTTTAAAAAAAAGATTTTTTAAGTTTTTCCCTTTTGGTTTTTTAATGGAATTTAAATTTTTGAACAATTTTGAAAGGGGTCCACCCAAGGATCATTTCTGTAAAGTTTGGTTGCAATTGGCCATGTGGTTTAGGAGGAGATGTTGTTTGACGCCATTTTTTGAAGGACACACGACGCACGACGGATGCAGAGTGATGACAAAAGCTCACCCTTGAGCACTTTGTGCTCAGATGAGCTAATAACAGTAAAAAATAGTGTTTTTTAAGGAAAATTCTAAGTTCAAGGGGAAATAAATCTGAAAATATTGGTGCTAGAGTTATGGACCTTGTCACATAAGATGCGATTGATGATAAGGAACATATATTTGAAGTATGAAGTTTATCCCTTAAGAAATAAATAAGTAACAGTAAAAAATAGTATTTCTAAGGAAAATTCTAAGTACAAGGGGATATAAATCCAAAACTATTGGTGCTAGAGCTATGAACCTTGTCACACAAGATGTGGTTGATGATAAGGAACATATATTTGAAGTTTGAAGTTGATACCTTAAGAAATAAAGAAGTAACAGTAAACAATAGTATTTTTTAAGGAAAATTCTAAGTGAAAAATATTTTACTGCACCAAAACTTTCATCTGAAATCTGGACGGGGACGCCGGGGCGAGTAGGACAGCTATCCATATTATTCGTATAGTCGAGCTAAAAACCATGGTAACACACACCCAGTGCAGTGCGTAAATTTGCGTTGACATCAGGTACTTTATGATGTGTATATTTTACAATATGGCGCTTTTAGATTTCAAAATACCCCAAAACGTCATGAGCCATATCTTTGACGTTGTCAGAAAACATGACTTCATTTAAGCCATATTTATATTTGCAATCACAATTCAAATGTCACTTGTTAAAGAACAAGAACTGTCGGAGGACAGTAACGCTCGACTATTCGAAAATTTGTCACAAGGGTGTTTCATTGAGTATAATAATGGTTACCTATATGAATACATAAAATTGTCCGAAAAGGTACAAACCCTTCAAGTTTCAATATATTCCCTTCAGTAGCTATGGAGATACAAGCTTACACACTAAAACTTAACCAAGAATTTATGAATCGAAAAAGGGGCATAATTATGCGAAAAAGTAAATCAGAGTTATGGGACTTGTGCCAATCATTTTAGATAATCACAGACAACTAGAGTGTGAAGTTTCAATCCATTCCCTTCAGTAGTTATGGAGATACTAGCTTACACGCAAAAACTTAACCAAGAATTTCTAAGTCAAAAAAGGGGCATAATTGTGCAAAAAAGCAAATCAGAGTTATGGGACTTGTGCCAATCATCTTAGATAATCACAGAGAACAAGTGTGTGAAGTTTCAATCCATTCCCTTCAGTAGTTATGGAGATACCAGCTTACACGCAAAAACTTAACCAAGAATTTCTAAGTCGAAAAAGGGGCATAATTATGTAAAAAAGCAATCAGAGTTATGGGACTTGTGCCAATCATCTTAGATAATCACAGAGAACAAGTGTGTGAAGTGTCAATCCATTCCCTTCAGTAGTTATGGAGATACCAGCTTACATACAAAAACTTAACCAAGAATTTCTAAGTCGAAAAAGGGGCATAATTATGAAAAAAAGCAAATCAGAGTTATGGGACTTGTGCCAATCATCTTAGATAATCACAGAGAACAAGTGTGTGAAGTTTCAATCCATTCCCTTCAGTAGTTATGGAGATACCAGCTTACATACAAAAACTTAACCACAGGGACGCCGACGTCGCCGCCGACAAATGGGTGACTGCATTTAAGCTCGATTATTCTGCGAATAGTCGAGCTAAAAACTCGCGTTAAAAGTATGTCGTTGGAATGTCTCGAAAATCGACTCTGTTCGACAGTAGCTATTACAGACGGTTCAGTCAACACTAAGGATTTTGAAATGATAATTGCTTATGTATTCATTACATATATTATATTTTTGGTTTCCAATTGTATAAATTATTTTATTATTTTACGTAAGAGTCTAATGGAGAAATTATGTCAACAATTAATAGTCAGGGATTAAAATCGGCTATGCGTTTTATTTATTTTAAAATAATGGCAATTTTGTTCTTAGTTGTATTATTCTTTTATTTTCTCAAATGTACATGTATGTATGATACATTATCATTCAGAAACATTATATCAATGAAAGACATAATATTGTTTATTGCATGTGCGATTTGTCCAGTAATCAAGTTACAGAAGGAAATAACGGAAGTTTGCGTCATTACAGGAGCTCTTTATGATCATCCATTCTATAACATTAAGATGCAGACTTGTACAGAGATACATGTATATATATAGGCAGTCGATCCGCCGCCATCAACAACATGTGGAACACGTATTGGCCTACTTCATGAATGAGTAAAAAACTGCTCCATTAAAGACAATATGCTTGTGACATTGTTTACATCAATTTTTAAGTTATACCGTGCGCCGCATTGCATACATATGCATGCCAATAACAGCATAGCTTTTTTATTTACTAATGTTTCATGTTGGTATTTTTTTAATTATTTAAGGGATAGATTCCGATTTATGTTCCGTGTATTTTTATGTAAATGCCTTTAACAGGCAAGAATGATCTACAAAGTCCTGTTAATTTTTGATCATCCCTCATGATAGGACACTTCTTACAATCAGAGACATAAATAACAGAGATAAGCAGCTCCTATATATTCCATTGAAATATCACTCATGCCTATCAAAAAGTGAAAAATTAGGCATTTTGTAGCAAATAAAACTTAATGGATGTACATTTGATCCTTTAATATAATATACCATTTAAAAGGTAAATCTTTTATACAATAGATATAGCTTGAGATATACTGACTACATACTAGGTAAACAATAGATACAGCTTGAGATATACTGATTACAAACTAGGCAAACAATAGATATAGCGGGATATACTGACTACAAACTAGGTAAACAATAGATAAAGCTTGAGATATACTGACTACAAACTATGCAAACAATAGATACAGTTTGAGATATAATGACTACAAACTAGGCAAACAATAGATACAGCTTGAGATATACTGATTACAAACTAGGTAAACAATAGATACAGTTTGAGATATACTGACTACAAACTAGGCAAACAATAGATACAGCTTGAGATATACTGACTACAAACAAGGCAAACAATAGATACAGCTTGAGATATACTGACTACAAACTAGGCAAACAATAGATACAGCTTGTGATTAACTGACTACAAACTAGGCAAACAATAGATATAGCTTGAGATATACTGACTACAAACTAGGCAAACAATAGATATAGCTGCATATATCCAGACTACACACTAGACAAACAACAGATACAGCTTGAGATATACTGACTACAAACTATGCAAACAATAGATACAGCTTGAGATATACTGACTACAAACTAGGCAAACAATAGATACAGTTTGAGATATACTGACTACAAACTAGGCAAACAATAGATAAAGCTTGAGATATACTGACTACAAACTAGGCAAACAATAGATACAGCTTGAGATATACTGACTACAAACTAGGCAAACAATAGATACAGCTTGAGATATACTGACTACAAACTAGGCAAACAATAGATACAGTTTGAGATATACTGACTACAAACTAGGCAAACAATAGATATAGCTTGAGATATACTGACTAAAAACTAGGCAAACAATAGATATAGCTTGAGATATACTGACTACAAACTAGGCAAACAATAGATATAGCTTGAGATATACTGACTACAGACTATGCAAACAATAGATACAGTTTGAGATATACTGACTACAAACTAGGCAAACAATAGATATAGCTTGAGATATACTGACTACAAACTAGGTTAACAATAGATACAGTTTGAGATATACTGACTACAAACTAGGCAAACAATAGATATAGCTTGAGATATACTGACTACAAACAATAGATATAGTTTGAGATATACTGACTACAAACAAGGCAAACAACAGATACAGCTTGAGATATGCTGATTACAAACTAGGCAAAAGATAGATACAGCTTGAGATATACTGACTACAAACTAGGCAAACAATAGATATAGCTTGAGATATACTGACTACAAAGAAGGCAAACAATAGATACAGCTTCAGATATACTGACTACAAACTAGGCAAACAATAGATATAGCTTGAGATATACTGACTACAAAGTAGGCAAACAAAAGATACAGCTTGAGATATACTGACTACAAACTAGGCAAACAATAGATATAGCTTGAGATACACTGACTACAAACTAGGCAAACAACAGATATAGCTTGAGATACACTGACTACAAACTAGGCAAACAACAGATATAGCTTGAGATATACTGACTACAAACTAGGCAAACAATAGATATAGCTTGAGATATACTGACTACAAACTAGGCAAACAACAGATATAGCTTGAGATATACTGACTACAAACTAGGCAAACAACAGATACAGCTTGAGATAAACTGACTGAAAACTAGGCAAACAACAAAAATAGCATTAGATATACTGACTACAAAGTACGAAAACAATAGATCGCCTGCACATATTCTGACTTCAAACTAGGCAAACAATAGAAATAGCTTGAGATATACTGACTACAATAGATATACTGACTACAAACTAGGCAAACAACAGATACAGCTTGAGATAAAGTGACTGAAAACTAGGCAAACAACAAAAATAGCATTAGATATACTGACTACAAAGTACGAAAACAATAGATCGCCTGCACATATTCTGACTTCAAACTAGGCAAACAATAGAAATAGCTTGAGATATACTGACTACAATCTAGGTTAACAATAGATACACCTGCATATATTCCGACTAAAAACTGGGCAAACAATAGATATAGCTGCATATTTTCTGTATACAAACTAGGCAAACAATTGGTTAATACAGAATTCATTTTAGTTCAATTGTGTAGGAAGCTTTAAGCTTATAGACACACTTTCGAATCTGTTCCTAGAAGCAACCAGTACTGAGCAAAAAGTGTAAAGTTTCTTGCTTAAGGAAACAATGATTTGCCTCTTATGGATTTAAACCCATGCCGCTAGAGATCATAAGATTACCAGTCTGAGGCATTACCAACTCGGCCATGCCGCCACTTCAAGGCAAAACAATTGATACAGATAGATATATTCTGACTACAAACTAGGCAAACAATAGATATAGCTTGAGATATACTGACTACAAACTAGGCAAACAATAGATATAGCTTGAGATATACTGACTACAAACTAGGCAAACAATAGATATAGCTTGAGATAAACTGACTAAAAACTAGGCAAACAATAGATACAGCTTGAGATATACTGACTACAAACTAGGCAAACAATAGATACAGCTTGAGATATACTGACTACAAACTAGGCAAACAACAGATACAGCTTGATATATACTGACTACAAACTAGACAAACAACAGATACAGCTTGATATATACTGACTACAAACTAGGCAAACAACAGATACAGCTTGATATATACTGACTACAAACTAGGTAAACAATAGATACAGTTTAAGATATATTGACTACAAACTAGGCATACAATAGATACATCTTTAGATATACTGACTACAAACTAGGCAAACAATAGAAACAGTTTGAGATATAGTGACTACAAACTAGGCAAACAATAGATAAATCTTGAGATATACTGACTACAAACTAGGTAAACAATAGATATAGCTAGATATATACTGACTACAAACTAGGCAAACAATAGATAAAGCTTGAGATATAATGACTACAAACTAGGCAAACAATAGATATAGCTAGATATATACTGACTACAAACTAGGCAAACAATAGATACAGTTTGAGATATACTGACTACAAACAAGGCAAACTGATACAGTTTGAGATATACTGACTGAAATCAAGTGTCATGCCTAAGAGCATTCAAACAGAACAACACATTTAAGATCTAGGTAGGTATTGACTTTAAATCAGTGGTCTCAATCGTGGGGTCAAATAAAGAACAAAACAAAGAATTGGGACTGAATCTGGTGGTCTTAGAGTGTAGGACAAAAGCCCCCCACCCCCCCCCATTTAAAAAATGACAAGGTGGACAAAAGCCCCCCCATTAAATTTACGCATAGGACAAAAGCCCCCCCCCTCAAAAGTGCAGGTAGGACAAAAGCCCCCCCAGTCCATCAAACAAAAGCCCATACCCTACTGTAAGAAAAAAATACGAAATGGAAATATTACTTTTAGTAATTACTTCGCAAAATATAATTAATATGTTATATGCAAGAAACAGAATCAAACATCAAATTAACAAAGGGCAATAACTCCAAAATTAGGACAAAAAGAGTTATTGTTCTTATGCACTGCACATCTACCCATTGAGATCTATTCACCTACAAAGTTTCATGTTGATATCTCTTATAGTTTTAGAGTTATGTCCCGGACAATATTTTTCTATAAGAGGAGATAATTCAAAAACCGGGCAAAATAGGGTTATGGTTCTTTGACACTGCACTCTCCCTCAATGCCTCTACCACTGTATGAAGTTAAAACAAATTATCTCCAAGGGTTTTCAAGTCATGCTCCGGACAAGACAACGGACGGACAGACGGACAAGGCGCCGACTATATGCTCCCCGAAATTTTTCGGGGAGCATAAAAACATATCCAGATCATTTTTAATACATGTAGATAATGATTTGACAAAACTGGTACTGATGCTGTCATACCAGGGATTTTACATAAGAATATCTATATACTTACTCTTTCCCCCACAGCCCTCTTCATCATTACCATTGGAACAATCTGTGATACCATCACAAGCTGCAGATGCCTCAATACACTGCCCATCATCACAAATAAATGAATCCGTGAAACATGCTGAAAATGAGAATAAAACATGCTTATCACACTATCATATACAGATAGATAGCTGAAGGATGGATTAAAATATTACTGTCATAATAACAGGACCTGCTGTTAAATTACATAAATTATAAAATTGCTGAGTATAACCACTCTACTATCAATAATACCTGGTTGTAGTATATGACTTATAAAGAGAGCAACTGTCATAAGTCATAATAACAATCAATGTTTTTCCAATTATAGAAGAGAACAGACAACTTTCACAATGTCACCAATGTACTGCCAATAATACAAGAGAACAGACAACTGTCATAATGACACCAACATGCTGCCAATAATACAAGAGAACAGATAACTGTCATAATGTCACCAAAGTGCTGCCAATAATACAAGAGAAGAGACAACTGTCATCATGACACCAAAGTGCTGCCAATAATACAAGAGAACAGACAACTGTCATAATGTCACCAACGTGCTGCCAATAATCAAGATAACTGTCATAATGTCACCAAAGTGCTGCCAATAACACAAGAGAACAGACAACTGTCATAATGTCACCAATGTTCTGCCAATAATACAAGAGAAAGAACTGTCATAATGTCACCAATGTTCTGCCAATAATACAAGAGAACAGACAACTGTCATAATGTCACCAATGTTCTGCCAATAATAAAAAAGAACAGACAACAGTTAAAATGTCACCAATGATCTGCCAATAATACAAGAGAACAGACAACAGTCATAATGTCACCAAAGTGCTGCCAATAATACAAGAGAACAGACATCTGTCATAATGTCACCAATGTGCTGCCAATAATACAAGAGAACAGACATATGTCATAATATCACCAATGTGCGACCAATAATACAAGAGAACAGGCAACTGTCATAATGTCACCAATGTTCTGCCATTAATACAAGTGAAAGAACTGTCATAATGTCACCAATGTTCTGCCAAAAAAAATACAAGAGAGAACAGACAACTGTCATAATTTCACTAATGCTCTGCCAATAATACAAGAGAAAAGACAACTGTCATAATTTCACTAATGTGCTGCAAATAATATTAGAGAACAGACAACTGTCATAATTTCACTAATGTTCTGCCAATAAAATAAGAGATTAGACAACAGTCATAATGTCACCAATGATCTGCCAATAATACAGGAGAACAGACAACTGTCATCATGACACTAATGTTCTGCCAATAATACAAAAGAACAGACAACAGTCATAGTGTCACCAATGTTCTGCCAATAATACAAGACAACAGACAACTGCCATAATTTCACCAATGTGCTGCCAATAATACAAGAGAACATACAACTGTCATAATGTCACCAATGTTCTGCCAATAATACAAGAGAACAGACATCTGTAATAATTTTACCAATGTGCTGCCAATTATATAAGAGAACAGACAACAGTCATAATGTCACCAATGTTCTGCCAATAAAATAAGAGAATAGACAACAGTCATAATTTCACCAATATGCTGCCAATAATACAAGAATACAGACAACTGTCAAAATGTCACCAATGTGCTGCCAATAATACAAGAAAACTGACAACTGTCATAATGTCACCAATGTGCTGTCAATAATACAAGAATAAGGACAACTGTTATAATGTCACCACTGTGCTGCCAATAATACAAACAACTGTCATAATGTCACCACTGTGCTGCCAATAATACAAGAGAACAGACAACTGTCATTATGTAACCACTGTGCTGCCAATAATACAAACAACTGTCATAATGTCACCACTGTGCTGCCAATAATACAAGAGAACAGACAACTGTCATAATGTCACCAATGTGCTGCCAATAATACAACAGAACAGACAACTGTCAAAATGTCACCAATGTGCTGCCAATAAAACAAGAGAACAGACAACTGTCATAATGTCACCAATGTGCTGCCAATTATATAAGAGAACAGACAACAGTCATAATGTCACCAATGTTCTGCCAATAATATAAGAGAATAGACAATAGTCATAATGTCATCAATATGCTGCCAATAATACAAGAGAAGAGACAACTGTCATAATTTCACCAATGTGCTGTCAATAATACAAGAGAACAGGCAACTGTCATAATGTCACCAAAGTGCTGCCAATAATAAAAAAACAACAGACAACTTCCATTATTCACAAATGTGCTGCCAATAACACAAGAGAACAGACAACTGTCATAATTTCACCAATGTGCTGTCAATAATACAAGAATACAGACAACTGTTATAATGTCACCACTGTGCTGCCAATATTACAAGAGAAGAGACAACTGTCATAATTTCATCAATGTGCTGTCAATAACACAAGAGAACAGACAACTGTCATAATGTCACCAATGTGCTGCCAATAACACAAGAGAACAGACAACTGTCATAATATCACCAATGTGCTGTCAATAATACAAGAATACAGACAACTGTTATAATGTCACCACTATGCTGCCAATAATACAAGAGAACAGACAACTGTCATAATGTCACCACTGTGCTGCCAATAATACAAAAGAACATACAACTATCATAATTTCATCAATGTGAATCCAACAATTATATAAAATAACAGACAACTGTCATAATGTCACCAATGTGCTGTCAATAATACAAAAAAAACAGACAACTTCCATTATTCACAAATGTGCTGCCAATAACACAAGAGAACAGACAACTGTCATAATTTCACCAATGTTCTGCCTATAATACAAGTGAACAGACAACTGTCAAAATGTCGCCAATGTTCTGCCAATAATACAAGAAAACAGACAACTGTAATAATTTCATCAATGTGCTGCCAATTATATAAAATAACAGACAACTGTCATAATGTCACCAATGTGCTGTTAATAATACAAAAAAAAAACAGACAACTTCCATTATTTACAAATGTGCTGCCAATTGTACAAGAGAACAGACAACTTCCATTATCTACAAATGTGCTGCCAATTGTACAAGAGAACAAACAACTTCCATTATTTACAAATATGCAGCCAATAATACAAGAGAACAGACAACCACCCATTATTATACAGCTGTAATTTAATTAATTTTATTAGACTTTTTGCATTATAACTTTTACCGGGAAATATTGTAAAAAGATTAAATCATTATAACTGAGTGAAAAAATTGTTTAAACTTTTGCATTAACTGTAAAATAAATAATTTTATAGACTAATGCATTTTATATGTAGTGAAAATATTGTATAGACTTCTGCCCTTTTAAATGTAATGAAAAATATTGTATAAAATTAACTGCCCTTATAACAGATGAAAATTATTTTATTTGAACCCTTAAATTTCATTATAAATGTAAGTGAAATATTTATAGGGGGGGGCTTACCCGGGATTTAACTGTTTTGAAAAAAAATTGTATTTGACCCTTTAAATGGGTTTTTTAACTGGAGTGAATTATTGTATAAATTTCTGCATTAAAAAACTGTAGTGATTATATTGTATATACTTACTGCATTATAACTAGTAAATATATTGTATAGACTTACTGCATTATAACTGTAGTGAATATATTGTATAGAGTGACTGCATTATAACTGTAGTGAATATATTGTATAGACTTACTGCATTATAACTGTAGTAAATATATTGTACAGACTTACTGAATTATAACTGTAGTGAATATATTGTATAGCTTTACTGCAAGATAACTGTAGTGAATATATTGTATAAACTTACTGCATTATAACTGTAGTAAATATATTGTATAGACTTACTGCATTATAACTGTAGTGAATATATTGTATAGACTTACTGCATTATAACTGTAGTGAATATATTGTATATACTTACTGCATTATAACTGTAGTGAATATATTGTATTATAACTGTAGTGAATATATTGTATAGACTTACTGCATTATAACTGTAGTAAATATATTGTATATACTTACTGCATTATAACTGTAATGAATATATTGTATAGCTTTGCTGCAAGATAACTGTAGTGAATATATTGTATAGATTTACTGCATTATAACTGTAGTGAATATATTGTATAGACTTACTGCAAGATAACTGTAGTAAATATATTGTATAAACTTACTGCATTATAACTGTAGTGAATATATTGTATAGCTTTATTGCAAGATAACTATAGTGAAAATATTGAATAGACTTACTGCATTATAACTGTAGTGAATATATTGTATAGCTTTACTGCAATATAACTGTAGTGAATATATTGTATAGACTAACTGCATTATAACTGTAGTTAATATATTGTATAGACTTACTGCATTATAACTGTAGTGAATATATTGTATAGCTTTACTGCAAGATAACTGTAGTAAATATATTGTATAGACTTACTGCATTATAACTGTAGTGAATATATTGTATAGACTAACTGCATTATAACTGTAGTGAATATATTGTATATACTTACTGCAAGATAACTGTAGTGAATATATTGTATAGACTTACTGCATTATAACTGTAGTGAATATATTGTATAGACTTACTGCATTATAACTGTAGTGAATATATTGTATAGACTTACTGCATTATAACTGTAGTGAATATATTGTATAGACTTACTGCAAGATAACTGTAGTGAATATATTGTATAGACTTACTGCATTATAACTGTAGTGAATATATTGTATAGACTAACTGCATTATAACTGTAGTGAATATATTGTATAGACTTACTGCATTATAACTGTAGTGAATATATTGTATAGACTTACTGCATTATAACTGTCGTGAATATATTGTATAGACTTACTGCATTATAACTGTCGTGAATATATTGTATAGACTTACTGCATTATAACTGTAGTGAATATATTGTATAGACTTACTGCATTATAACTGTAGTGAATATATTGTATAGACTAACTGCATTATAACTGTAGTGAATATATTGTATAGACTAACTGCATTATAACTGTAGTGAATATATTGTATAGACTAACTGCATTATAACTGTAGTGAATATATTGTATAGACTTACTGCATTATAACTGTAGTGAATATATTGTATAGACTAACTGCATTATAACTGTAGTGAATATATTGTATAGACTTACTGCATTATAACTGTCGTGAATATATTGTATATACTTACTGCATTATAACTGTCGTGAATATATTGTATAGACTTACTGCAGTCTGCTTCATCTTCACCTGATGGACAGTCGTCAATATGATCACATCTATATGTATCATTAACACAGGAACCATCATCACATTGGAGCTGGTATGGCATACACGCTGTAACAAGATATACTTGTAAATTGAGTAGTAACAATATATAAAATATTGAATCTTTTGTAATCTGTAACCTATTTAAACTCTAATAGGGGCTCTTAAAAAAATCTTTCTTTTTTTCAAACCCGTCAATTTTTAATTTTGGGGTATTCCCGATGGGGAAAAATTTTTTAAATTTTGTAAGCCAACAGTACAGAAGAGCTTGGGCAGAATTGGGTAGAACGTTTCAAAGGGTGGGATGGTTCTATATTTGGGCAAAAATTTCAGTTTCTTAAGCTCTTTTATATTGAAAAAAAACCCATGCAATGTAATTAATGGGGATTTACTGAGGCTAAAAAGGTAAATTAAGTGAAAAAAAATTTGGGTTTACAACATAAAGTAAAGCAAGCAAATTCATTATTTTGTATAAAACATAGTCATTATTTCCACAAATACAATATAGTATTAATTGCCAAACATGAATGGATTTTTTTGGGAACAGGTGGGATAATTTCTTGCATTTTTTATGAACAGGTGGAAATTTTTTTTAACTACATGTTTATACATACTACAGTTTGATTCATCATCTTCATCTTCAATACAATCTACAGTACCGTCACAGACCATAGACATTTCAATACATGTTCCGTTACCACATTGGAAGTCATCATAGCAACCTGAAATAAACATATTTCTTCATATTCACTTATATCTATATTTCAAGCTAAATATAATAGAAGGAAGAAAAAGTCAAATAAAGCCAAACACAATATAATGACTTTTGTATTTGAAGCATGGCTGATCAATTCATCCATGTCAAATTTATTAAAAAATAGGTAAAAAAATTACCATTTTTCAAGAGAAGTCAGTTCAAAATAAAGAATAAAATATACTATGCTAGAATGTCTTTATTGTATATTTTTCTGGATTTTAATACTGATTTAAACATGTTTTGGTTATATTTTCGTCAGTGAACCCACCTAACCAGAATTCCTTGATAACAAACCAGTAATTACCAATTTCTTCACATCCTACATGATTTCTGAGTCAGTCATGAGAGACAAATATCTCTATATTCAAGACCAATTGTCACAGAGAAATTACCCCTTGCCCGAGGATTAAACTCCTAGATTAATGATCTGATGCTCTGTCTATTAAGCTAAGCAGTCAAAAGTCGATTAAAATTAGCATAAGTTTGAGTCATTTAACACTTTATTGAAATAGCACAGTTGCAGGGTGCCCATTAAAATTTAGTTATACCTTTGCAAAGAGACATTTTTTGAGAGGAAAAAATCTTGGTTGTTACTGAGAGGTAATACCTGTATTGTATATATTGATCTGGAATTTGTATTTGGCTAAGTTGATTTTACTAGGCTAAATTTGAATAAGTGCATCATCACATAGCATAATCTGTTATAGTAAAATCCAAAGGAAACCAAAAACAAGCAACAGATTAAAGTATCTTGAACTTCAATAAACCTCGAACTGGATAAATTCTGACTACAAACTAGGCAAACAACAGATACAGCTTGAAATATACTGACTACAAACTAGGTAAACAACAGATACAGCTTGAGATATACTGACTACAAACTAGGCAAACAATAGATACAGCTTGAGATATACTGACTAAAAACTAGGCAAACAACAGATACAGCTTGAGATATACTGATTACAATCTAGATAGCTTGAGATATACTGACTACAAACTAGGTAAACAATAGATACAGCTTGAGATATACAGATTACAAATTAGGCAAACAATAGATATAGCGGGATATACTGACTACAAACTAGGTAAACAATAGATAATGCTTGCGATATACTGACTACAAACTATGCAAACAATAGATACAGTTTGAGATATAATGACTACAAACTAGGCAAACAATAGATACAGCTTGAGATATACTGATTACAAACTAGGTAAACAATAGATACAGTTTGAGATATACTGACTACAAACTAGGCAAACAATAGATACAGCTTGAGATATACTGACTACAAACAAGGCAAACAATAGATACAGCTTGAGATATACTGACTACAAACTAGGCAAACAATAGATACAGCTTGTGATAAACTGACTACAATCTAGGCAAACAATAGATATAGCTTGAGATATACTGACTACAAACTAGGCAAACAATAGATATAGCTGCATATATCCAGACTACACTCTAGACAAACACCAGATACAGCTTGAGATATACTGACTACAAACTATGCAAACAATAGATACAGCTTGAGATATACTGACTACAAACTAGGCAAACAATAGATACAGTTTGAGATATACTGACTACAAACTAGGCAAACAATAGATACAGCTTGAGATATACTGACTACAAACTAGGTTAACAATAGATACAGTTTGAGATATACTGACTACAAACTAGGCAAACAATAGATATAGCTTGAGATATACTGACTACAAACAATAGATACAGTTTGAGATATACTGACTACAAACAAGGCAAACAACAGATACAGCTTGAGATATGCTGATTACAAACTAGGCAAAAGATAGATACAGCTTGAGATATACTGACTACATACTTAGGTTCCAGACAAAATCTAGATATTTTATCAAGTTTATAGTGACCTTGACCTTGCATAAATTAACTTAAAATACTACGCCATGTTGGTAGACATGATAATGACCTTTTGATGACTAAATGGTCACTATACACATTTTCATTTGAACTTTGACCCTTATGTGTGGCCTTGACCTTAGCTGCAGGGACCAGAATTCCTTGACACTTTGTGTCACAATGGTGAACATTTGTACCAACTTAAACTGAAACCCCTCTATGCATGTACGCGTCAAGCCATTTTGAATGAACTCTAAGTGTAACCTAGACCTTTGACCTAGAGACCTCAGGTTCTTGTACATGACACAGCTTTTTATAGAGGTGAAAATTTCTATGAATTTTCATAACAATACCTCCATGCTTGTTGGAGATATGCTCTAGACAAAGTCTGAATATTTCATAATCTTTAGTGACCTTGACCTTGCAGAAATTGACCTAAATCACAGATGTTGTCATGATAATGACCATTTGTACTACAATCCCTTAAAAATGATGACTAAATGGCCCCTTACATATTTTCATATATTATTTGAACTTTGACACCTATGTGGGATCTTGAACTTAGCCCCAGAGATCTGATTTTTCCAACTGACACTTTGCGTCACATGGCGAACATTTTTGCAAAGTAATATTGAAATCCATTCATGCATGTAAAAGTTTTGCTCAAACAAGCATTTGTCAATGACCTTTAAGTAAGACTTTGACCCTCGACCTAGAAACCGGTTCATGCCTGCGATACAGTTTCTCGTAGTGGTGAACATTTCAATGAATTTTCATCAAAATCCCTCAATGTGTGTAGGAGATATGCTCGAGGCAAAAAGTGGATGCCGACTATCAGGGTCGTTTCTGTAGTACAACCCATTTTTCTAACGGGCGTTAAAAAAGAGGCATGGAAACCTTTACAAAATGTCTTTGTTTTTTCTCAAATTGTGCAAGGGTATTTTCCTTTGCCTACAAGTGAAGGTAATGGTCTTTAAAAAAGTTGTCATATATAAAAGTTAGCTATGGCATCCATCCTTTTGTTTAACAGCTAACACAGCTAACAATAATACAGAACTGTTTCTTTTACCTACCAAAATATGAACACCAACTTCAATCCATTCTAAATGCGCTAACTTGAAATGTATGAAAGATAATTTAAAATGAAATATTTTTTTAATAACTCATCAAAAACATCTCTGCTGATATCAAAATTTACAAACAAGTAGTAACACATTATGATGTTAATAAATCACTTACTACAATTATGTTCATCTTCACCAAACATGCAGTCTCTATGACCATCACACACTTTCTCCTTTGAAACACAGCCACCATACTTACATTCAATGTCAGGAAGACAAGCTGTATAATATGATATAATATAATTTCAGGAAAACAACAGTCTGTGTATCATAAACTAGTCACATGGGATTTCAGGACAACAGCCTGTATGTAGTATATTGGCATGGGTTGTCAGGAAAACAGCTTGAGTATAATATCATAGTCACATGAGATGTTGGGACATCAGCTAGTTATATAAATAGCATGGCCACATGGGAAGTCAGGACAACAACCTGTATATAATATATTCACATAGCATGCAATGAAGAAAGCCTATATATAGTATAGCGGTTGCAATCTGTCATAAATATAACAGTTAAAAAATTACAAAAGCTGTCAGAGAAAATAGGAATGGTTGACTAATGAACTACTGGATGCAGAAAAGGAAGAAAAAACTATGAAGAAAAAAATCAATAATGATATAAATATATTTATGTATCAGCATCAAGAAAGCACTCAAATATTCAATATTTTTGCACAGTGTCAATGAAATTTAAAGAGACATTCCTATACTCTTATTTGTAATCTGATCTCAATCCCTTCAGTGGCAAAAAATGATAAGAGCAAAATGTATATAAATATTTTTAAGTAAAAATTATAAGTTCAAAGAGGAAACATTTCTTGAAATAAAGATGCTAGAGTTATGAACCTTGTCATGCATGATGTGAGTAATGACAAAAAGCAATTTTCTTATGTCTAGACTAGATGTCTTTTTCAATAAAAATGTAACAATTTTCAAATAAATAAAAACTAGAAATGTGTCCATAGGACACGGGTGCCCCCACCGCGCCACTGTTCTGTCAATCTTATGACTCTAGGTCAAATTTTTTTTGAAAACTAAAAATCTTTTACTTAGTAAAGGGCAAGAACTTTACAAATACTGAATAAATCCACAAGCAAACCCCAAGGTGCATAAGTACACATGCTGACCAACATTCTTGTAAACTTTCAGGCCTACAAGTGAAATTCTTTTTGAGCTATGCAGGAACAAACAGGAGCTAAAATTTTCATCCTATATGACAAAGGTTTTGATAACAAACATGTATGTCTTTGAAGTTCCTAAAGTAAAAAAGAAGTTACAGAAAAAAATAAGGACAATTCTAAGTTTAACAGGAGTTATGAACCTTGCTATATAAGTATTTAAAGATGCTAGAGTTATGAACCTTGCCTATTATATTTTGATATTATAAGGGAATTGATATGAAACGTAAATTTAAAGTTGAAAGTAAATCCTTTGAAAAAAGAAAAGAAATAACAATTAAAAAAATTCATGGGGGAATAATTCACATGATGTGGCGATAATAAGTTACAGATGTTTGAAGTTTGAAATAGATACCTTAAGAAATGAAGAAGTTATAGTAAACAATAACATTTTATAACATAAATTCAAAGTTTAAGGACGGATAATTCTGAAAAATATTTTTGCTAGAGTTACGAATCTTGTCACACACATCATGTAGGTGATAAGGAACATATTTTATTTGAAGTTTGAAGTTGATACCTTAAGACATAGGAAAAAATAGTTCAAAATAACATTTTTTTTAGGAAAACTAAGTTTATGGGGAGATAATTCTGGAAAGACTGGTGCTTGAGTTAAAAACCTTGTCACATATGATGTGGTTGATGATAAGGAACATATATTTGAAGTTTGAAGTTGATCCCTTTAAAAATAAAGAAGTAAAAGTAAAAAATAATATTCTTTAAAGACAGTTGTAAGTTCAAGGGGAGATAAATCTGAAAATATTGCTTCTAGAGTTATGAACTTTGTCACATAAGATGTTGTTGATAATAAGGAACATCTATTTGAAGTTGATAACTTAAGAAACAAAAAAAGTTATAGTAAAAATTATTTAACTGCACAAGATTTTGATCTGAAATCAGGACATGGACGCTTGGGTGAGTTGGAAAATCTCCATATACTTCGTATAGTCGAGCTAAAAATGAATAAAATAAACAAATGTATATAATCAAAGATAAAAGACTGCTTTAGACAGACCAGGTATAGACATATGTCATACATACATATTATACATTACCACAGTTAAGTTCATCCGAGGCATCAATACAATCGTTATATCCGTCACAGACATAGCTTCTATCAATACAGTCACCATTATTACAATGATACTGGTTCGCCTTACATTCTCCTGTTGTTATAACACATGAATATCAAAATAATTATCAAATTTAAGATAAAAAACTTCTTCCTCAAAAGCATAACACTTTTCATTGATTTAGTTCACATTTGAACAAAAATCAGAAGGATTTTCTTCTAAGCTACCAAGATATAATATTTATATTATAAATATTTATATTATAACAAATCTAAGTAACATTTATACACATTTATACACACATTTATACAATGTTTTAAATTACAATGTATTGTTACAACATATGTAGCATTTATATGTTACAATGCATGTAACATTTATATGTAACATTGTATGTAACATTTATAAATTACAATGTGTAAAAATATATGTAACAATGTATGTAACATTTATACATTACAATGTATGTAACATTATTATGTTACAATGTATGTAACATTTATACTTTACAATGTATGTAATATTTATATGTTACAATGTATGTAACATTTATAAATAACAATGTATGTCACATTTATAAATTACAATGTATGTCACATTTATACATAACAATGTATTTAATATTTGTATGTTAGAATGTATGTAACATTTATATGTTACAATGTATTTAACATTTGTAACTGTAAAAGTAATTTTATCTCCTCCTTATTATGAAGCTATCTTAACAGTAAAGCTTACAGTTTGATTGATTTCCATTCAGTTGTTATAGAGAATGTTTTATGCCAATTTTAACCCATGCTTATATCTCTGTGGTGTGTTCACCTTTTCAATTTACCTGGATTACTAACTAGTTATTACCAATTTCTCTGAAAATGTCAACTACTTAGCTCGCAGAACTTTTGAATCAGCTAATAGAGACCAATGTCCACTAGACTTGATGTCAGACATCATTGTCACATAGACATTTTGCTTTGCTCTTGGACCAAAAAAAACCCAGCAAGTCCTGGATTACAATTTACATTCATTTCCTTTTGAGATTTACGTCCAGATTGTAGTAGTGAAAAAGCCTGTGCAAAAGCAGGTAGATATGGAAAACAAAAATAACAAAGATGGAGAATTAAATAAGATGGTATGTAAGTGAGTGATGCTTACTACAGTTTTGTTCATCTGTCCCATCCTGACAGTCTACATGGTCATTGCATACTTTATCATATCTAATACATGTATTGGCATCACATTGGAGATCTAAAACCTTACATCATACAGTAAACAAAGTCAAATTACCCGTAAACAAATTACCCATTGTCAAATTACTGGTTGTCAAGAAGAAGTAAATAATATACAGACTATATATACATCTTATACACAAAGAGTTGCCAGACTATTTAAGTCACATTAAAGTACGTCCTAGCGCTATATACCATTATCATTTCACTTCTGCTAAGGGTAAACCGTAATTTTATGGTATTTGAAAAGGTAACTGAGAAGCAATTCATTCAAATAGAATTAAAAATGTATAAAATGCACCCCCATAAATAATGCAGAACTAGTGTTATTTCATAAATTTGCAAAGGTTGACCTTTAAGGTGAAGGTCATTCAGAGATTGATATATCAAAGTGAGGCTCTAAACAAGTGTTATGTCATATCCAAGTAATGGCTACATAGAATGAAGATTTTATGGCCAGTATTTAAGTTCATAGTCAAACATTGATACAGGAGAACTAACTATATGCCAATCTGTCAATAAATCAAGGGGCATAAGAATTAAACAAACTGATGGTCAGATGTTTCATTGAGACTCAGATAATTTGTTATTATATAGGTTGCTGACTGTTTACCTGTATCTTGGTGCTTACCAAGACATACCGAGGTCTCAGAAGGCTATATTCTCTGGTATATCCCATCAGCATTGTTTTGTAACTAATTTGTTATATTAAAATAAACTCATTTAATTACCTCACAGGACGCCTGATCACTGTATTGTTTGTGTGTATACTTAATTTTAATTGAAAATTATTGTAATGTAATAATTAGTTGATCAATATACACTAAATACATATTCAAAATATACTTCCATCACACTTCATACTATTCCTCTATCAAACTAAGTGCATTATTACATGATAAATGCACAACATAACAAGAGCGATCAGTGATCACATGTGTCGCCTCATGATGGTCAATTTCATGTTGGGACAAGTTTTGTGAAAGTCGGACAGACAGACGGACAGTGCACAACTAGACTTGGTACTGATCATTCCTGTAAAGTTTGGATAAAATTGCACCAGTAGTTATGAGGAGTAGTCCGGACAAGTTTTTGTGTATCTGGCAACACACAAAAAACATCTTTATATCAAAGGGCCATAACTCGGCCGAAAATCATTCAACCAAAAAAACCCGTGCAATATGCCCAAGGACTTGAGCTACAGATCAATCCTGTAAAGTTTCATTGAAATTGCAGTGGTATAAGAGAAGTAGTCCGGACAAACTTTAAAAATCAAAATTATTAAAGGGCCATAACTCTGACAAAAATCATTGAACCGGAAAATGCTGACAATATGCACAAGTAGACTTGGTACTGATCATTCCTGTAAAGTTTGGATAAAATTGCACCAGTAGTTTATGAGGCGTAGTCCGGACAAGTTTTGTGACGGACGGACAGACGGACAATCAGACGGACAGACGGACGTTCCAACATTTTGGGTTTAGGGGCTATTTTGTTTGTTATTTTCTTTGTTTTCTTAAGGGCTACTGGCCCATAAACCCTTTGATCATGGAATGAACCTATTGTTCTCTTTTGTTCTCTTTATTGTTATATAGCCCCTAGACCCAAAATGTTTGCTCGGACAGACAGACGACGGAGAAGTGATCCCTATATGTCGCCACTACTCCGTAGAGGAAAAGGAGACACAAAAAGGAATGATTACATGTCATATGACATCAGATATGACATTAATTAAACAAATGACTGTAGGAAAATTACTTGTACGCTCAATATTGTTCAACATAATTATTTTTATCAATTCTCTTTAATATAAGCATGTTAGAAAAAAAAATAAAGATATTATTTTTTTAATGCACAATGTATTGTTCAAATGCTTTGGTCTTCGTGATTATATCCTACGCATTTGAACTTGAACCGTGCATTCTTATACTTAAAAGCACTAAAAATTGATTTCTTTTTCCTAAATATCACAAACTGACTATTAGTGAATATACTAGAAAATGCCAATTTCTTATCACCATGTCATTGAATCTAGGAAGTAAGCACAATACTCAATTACATCAACAGAGGCAAGCACAGCCCTTAAGGCAGATAATTTTTCTTGGAATATATTTGGCAATGCATAATATTCGAGACATTATAATTATTATTATCATAATAAACATTTATATTTATTACCATATGTGAGCTCGAATGATTTCTCCACCCAACCTTGGTCTTTCAGCCATCCTTTGCACTTGTATATTCCAATATCCGAGTATAACATGTTCCTGATTGTCAGAATATTAACCCTATCAAATGTTGTTCTAACTTGATACATTCTGTAATACAAACAAGAGCTGTCAGCAGGACTTTGGACTCAACTATTCACAGTGCTTGATAGTAAAACAAGCCTTGTCAGGAGGACAGCAGGATCAACTTTTCACAGTGCTTGGTAGTAAAACAAGTGCTGTCAGAAGGACAGAAAGCACAACTATTCACAGTGCTGTCGGGAGAGCATGATCAACTATTCACAGTGTTTGATAGTCAAAGAAGTGCTGTCAGAAGTACTGCAGGCACAACTTTTTACAGTGCTTGGTAGTAAAACAAGAGCTGTCAGAAGGACTGCGGGCACAACAATTCACAGTGCTTGGTAGTAAAATACGTGCTGTCAGAAGGACAGCAGGAGCAACTATTGACAGTGCTTGATAGTAAAACAAGAGCTGCCATCTCAACTTTTCACAGTGTTTGATAGTTAACCCATTACGCGATATACACACCTTTTAACGCCTTTTTCACCCCCTTTTTTGTTGTCTGAAATGGTGAAAAATGCCTTATTTAGGCCCCCAACACTTGTTTTTGTTTGAGAAATGTTGTTAAAAAAAGTGACCACTTTTCTGCGCGGCCCCCAACCAAAGGATACATCAGGGGGTTGCCAGAAGGGGGATGTGCCCCCCTTCTGTTTGTGGGGTTTGAAGGGGGACGGGAGTCCCCCTCATCGCCAAGAAAATTTTGGGCCTGTGAGAGGCTAAAAATGACCCCAGATCGATTATAAGGTAACGTGTAACCAACGCTGAAAAGCATCTGACTCTATCTCAATCCATTGAGCACTTTGAAATCAATTTTGATGGAAAAATCAAGGCAAAATAGTAATTTTTGGCAATTTTGAGATGTCCACTCGTTGCCATGGTAAATTAAACCTGAACATGTTGTTGCAAAGGTAATGGTCCAGTCAACATTTGTGCCAAGTTTGATTAGTATTGAGGCAGTTTTTATAGTTTTATAACAATTTGAACTTGTAACGACAGACTTTTCAATAAAAACAGCATTTTTTCACAAAATCCTCATGAAGTAATGGGTTTAACAAGAGCTGTCAGGATATAAATCGCTAATGGTTAATAAGGCAGGGATGTGATCAAAATAACTAATGGTACTTAAGGCTGGAATGGGATTTAAATAACTAATGGTACCTAAGGCAGGGATGGGATTCAAATAACTAATGGTACCTAGGCAGGGATGGGATATAAATCACTAATGGTACCTAAGACAGGGATGGGATTCAAATAACTAATGGTACCTAAGGCAGGGATGGGATTCAAATAACTAATGGTACCTAGGCAGGGATGGGATATAAATCACTAATGGTACCTAAGGCATGGATGGGATTTAAATAACTAATGGTACCTAAGGCATGGATTGGATTCAATTAACTAATGGCACTTAAGGCAGGGATTGAATTTAAATCAATATTGTAGTACCAAATAAATTTGATTTAGGCATTATATTGAATAAAGATTGTTTTACTTTGCAAGCCTTTGTTTCAAGAGCTAATGGAAAGGTCTTATGCTAATCTGACCCCCAGCGTAGGTCCATTTTCCCTCAGCAATATTTTTAATGTAAAGAATATTTTTGAAAATGAATATCTTATTTTTGTCTCAGTATGAGCCTTACGGCAGATTTATCACAAAACAACAGAATTCAAGTTTAGTGGATGTTCTAAAATAAAGTTTTGACAAGTTTAACACTAGTTAATAAGTTACAAACCTTCCGCGGGACATTCTGACTGGATGTGGGTTCGGTGTCTTGTACCATTTAAGGGCTGGATCGGGGCCCGGTTCTGAACACAGAGCCTTGCAGTATATCTGATTAATTTGTCCACTTAAACCAATAACATATTCACCATCCTGTAGTTCCAGACCATCTTTCTGTATTGTGAGATCACACTGATTACCACTGCCTGTAACAATTGTTTTAAAATAAATATTTAGAGAATTTCTCT